AAATAAATAAAAATAAAAATCTTTTACTTGATTTTATGCAACCTGAAATTGAAAATTTATCAATATTCAATTGTAATGTTGTATAAAACTGTCATATATTTTATTAAGTCAATTCACTCTGAAGAAGTGGCTTACATTAAGTAACAAAACATGAGAAATGCAATTTTTCTACTTATTAGGATATAACATAAATCTATTTGAAGGGGTTTTGTGGATTTTATAGTAATTTTAATAGTTGAGATCATGAGTCGATTAAAGTTAGATCACCATGGAAAACCTGGAAGCGCTAGACGGCCGATTCGTTCTATTATGCGCATCCACGAACCCGCCTCGCGAGATTAGAACCCAGGCCCTATCGGTCTCGCACGTGGATGTTTAATCACCAGACCACTGAGCTGGCATCCAACAAGACTGATAAGTCCTGGGTTCGAATCCCAATAGGCGGGATTGTGGATTCTCGCTGCTGAGGAGTCCCGCAGTAGGATGAAACGGAGTTTATATACCAATCAAACAGACTACATCGTACCATGAAATATGAAAAAAAAACATTTGTACAAGATTTGTCCAAATGTGGCTGTGAATGTGGGAGGTAGTGAATAATAGGCAGGGAATAATTCAAGAATGGAAAATCGTATAATAACAGTTCATAAATTAAAATAAAGTTTATGATAAGAGAGATATGTATATGAATAATTTAGTTAATTATCAATTATAGGATAAAAATATACGTTAAGTATTCGTTCATAAATGGATCCCAAAGTTACCATTCATTATGCTTATCGAGACCTGACAGTTCCATTTCATTTTACCCTGAACTATATCATTTAAATCTTCAAATTAATAATGTATATCAATCCAATAACCTTGGATATAAATCTCACATTTACCTAGACAACTGATACTAATATTTTATGATATTATATACACAACTATAGTGTCTCATCATAACTGTTATTAATTTTATTGCTATTTCAGTTAATAATAAGTGATATTTTAAATTGTTCGTCTCAAAAATACACATTCATATATCATAAATATAAAACTCAAATAGTAAGCTATCATGGTAGAGAAGATTTGTAGCTCAGATAGATGATTTCAATGAAGTTTTGTTCTCTAATCTGGATATTTTGATCCACGACTAATATAAGCTATCATAAAATATCATCTAGTCTATTTCATTTAGATACTAGTTACATTTGACACTTAAAGTTTTGTCAAAATCATCTATTTTCATACAGTTTTTTTTATATTTTAAAACTTAGTCTACTATTATTAATACGACTACTACTTCTTCTTCAATTGTTCATTTTTTGTTATAGTAACCAAAAATTCAAGTATTCCTTGTTTAAAAAAAAAAAATACAACTGTCAATTTTTGTAACTAACCAATGTATACATGTATGAATAGTTTTAAGAAACCCAAAAAAACGGTTATAAATTTTACGAGATAAAGTTTTAGATTAAATAAATATTATTTACAATGTTAATGATGTTATTTTATGGTAAAAACAATTTATATGAATACAAAACTGAAACTGTTGTACAGAGCCAGCAACAAAAATAAAGGAAAAAAAACAATTTTCTTAAACTTTAATATAGTTCAATAACAAAATGCTGGGATTTTATTAGTCATTATGTTTTAAATAGAGATATTATTTCTTAAATACTTTACAACAGTTGATATGGAGAAGAACTCACTCTCTGTACCAAGATTTTTTTCAGATGATCATGCGGTAATGGGGCTCTATCCAAGAAGCTCACTTGAATTCCTTTACGTGATACGGCAGTTTTAAGAAGTAAGAAAACCTATGCGGATGTTCGGAACTTAGACCAAATTAATGGGTATTATTCTATTTATTTGAACGCATAAATACTGGTACAAGAGGGCACCAGATACATATGCGCCACACAAATCTCATTTGATTTGTGTGAGAGCTGTGATACTGCTCGATTGCCCAAATAGAAGCAGGTGGTTGTCTTAGGGGACCACATTCGGAGCCTTCGACCTAAAGGTCTGATCCACAGGGCAGTGGAGCAGCGTAAGGAGATGCAGTCCCACGGTAGCCAATGACCAACGATCGGATCACACGCCATTTGTTCCCTCAGGGTACTAGAGCTCATGTGCACTATTGGTTTTGAATGAGGGTTTCCCACCTCCCCTAGGTGGACTCTCCGTGTCCACCAAGCCGGTTAAAGCACCTGACATCCGCTTTTCGTCCTCTCAATTTCGTAATCAACACCCCCACCACGAGAAAGCAGTGGGTAGGATTTCCCTGACAGAGGCTATATACGCGTGGACATGTGAGAGAATTTCGAGAGGGAGAACGGACTCTCCCCACTCTCGGCCGTACCAGGGCACTTGGGGGCAGGTTAATGAGTACGAAGGGTTTAAATAATTACGTTTAAAAAGCACATCAAACTAAGGATAGAGGAGGGTTACTATGTTGCCCAATCGGTACTAGAGGTTTTCAGATCAGATAATAAGAACCATGTTTTGTAGCTTTTCTCGAATCATAATCTGTTTCTGTTATCTACCAACTTGCGGAATAATCATCGTCAATGTGCTGCTTGAAATCTTTGCTCTACAATTCAAGCGGTGAATACAATTAGTCTTTCTAGATATAATTCAATAATCACTATGGACTAAGCAAATACGATGTTAGCAATTACCTAATGATCAATGAGTTTCATCAAAAATCAAATGAGACTCAACAGTAATACCTTTGATATTGGATGGCAGAAGTTTGTGTCCCACTGGTGAATACCAGTTTCCTAACAATTCCTCATCCACCTTTCCAACAAGTAACAATTTGCACGAAATGTAAATTCAGGTTAAATCATACATTCTACAAAAAAAGCTACTTACAGACTTGTGACTCAAATTGCTTAACTGAAATAAACCTTCTGCTTGTGCGATATTAACCATGTTGACTTATTGAGGAATTCACAAACGTATCTAATATAAATATATAAATGTTGAAAGTTTGTAAGTACTTAAAAGTATAGTATAAATAATACTATGGTGTTTGCTACTTATATTGACATAAGTAGTATATGATATTAGTCGTGAACAGAATGTCCGGCAGCAGAGAGACAAGAGGATCGAACAGTAAAGAATGGAAACAGGCTGCAATTTGTATGAAAATGCAAGAACAATGAAGTTTGAGTCATTATGAGACAATTGACGGATATTTTGCAAATTACGTATTTACTATTTGATTGTTAGATTTTATTAAACAAGTCCTGTAATTTTGTGTTAAATATATTTGATTGTCCCCACTCGTGTTCTCTTCACTTCAATACTAGTAGATGATCTTCCACTCAATCTTCTGTTCTTTGATCGATAAGTCATTTCTTAATTTATGAGTACATTAATATTCAGTGAAAAGTTTTATTTCTTTTAACTTGATAATCAATACAGAGAATAATATAAACTGTAGTAAATTAACTTTATTGTCTAAATGCTATCATCCTCACTTTAGTTATTTATATCCAAGATACAAATTACAGGAAATATCATTAGCGAATTGGTAAATATATATATTTGACAAGTCAAATATACTTTCCAAGAAATTGATTACTTAAATAAGCTTCAAACTTATGATTTTCATTCCTGCTTTGTTGTTTGTTGTAATCTACTTTTGTATGATTTTGATATATATATATATAAACTGTTGATTGTACAAGATTAATCTTCTAGTAGCCAATTCCTAAGAATACTCTCATTTAAGTAAATTTATCCTGTACAAGCTATGTTATCTAACTCACAGTAACAACATCACTTCATATAAACTCAATGTGTATCCTGTTATGTCAACTCATCACAGCTTACTCTTTTCTGACTATGGAGAAACCAGCACATTTCCGGTCATTAAATTATTAGAAGTCACATAAAAGCCAATACAATACATATACACATAAGTATACAAACTATGACGATAATGAATACATAGAATCTCATATATATAAACATAACTATGTCATTAGAATAGATGATGATTGACAAAACTTGGATATTTTACTATATATTAATTAAACTGGTAATACCAATAGAATACATACAATATATCTCTAGTACCAATGAATAACAAGTAATATGATTGTAACCTCAATAGTAGAAATCATGAGTCAATTGAAGCTAGACCACCATGATCTAGTGGTTAAACGCTCATGCCCGAGACTGATAGATCATGGATTCGAATTCCATGAGGCGACATTGCGGATGCGCACTACTAATGACTCCCACAATAGGACGAAATGGCCATCTAGTACTTCCAAGTTTTTCATGCTAGGCTAACTTCAATTGACGCATGATCTCAACTATTGAAATTAGGATAATCTCCACAAAACCCCTTCTGATACTGTAGTGAAGGAGAACACAGGTGAGGACAACCAAACTGTAGTAAGCACAAAATTACGGAGTTATTTCATAAAATAGAAAAACCATATAGTAAATTGTTAGTTTGCAAAATATCATTCCATCATATCAAACCGGACTGTTGCTGTTGCAAAGATCAATCCATTGTCTCACATTTCATTGTTCATGCGATTTCTTACAAATTCCATTGTGTTCTCACTCTTCCTTTCTTGATCTTCCCCATCTTCTGCTGCCAGATATTACGTTCTTTTAACTCACGTTATCTACTACTTATATCAATATAAGTAGCACGCACCACATTACTAACATGACTGTATTAATTAAACTGGTTACATCGGTAGAATTATTCATTGATCAACTTATAATTTCTTCTAATTTTCTACGTCTTTTTTCTCCTTTTTCTTTTTCAGTGTAGTCAAGTTGTAATGAAAATTAAAAAATAATTCAATTCATCACAATGATCATAATATTAATAATAATGAAAAATCTCTTATTCATCATATTGATAAAACTAATCATGATAATCAATTACAAGAAGAATCAAAGAAATCAATAAATCAACAATCAATCAATAATAATATCAATAATAATAAACATCCAATTATAATAAATAATAATAATAGTTGGTCCATATCAGAAATTGGATTAAGTTTATCATGTTTAAATCCTAATGATAATTATAATATTCTTTATTCATCATCTAATTCATTATCATTATTATCTTATTTATCACCATTTAATATAAATCCATTTCCATATATTATAAATTTACAAAAAAATAATATTGATTTTAATTTATATCAACAAATCAATAAACAAATTTTATTACAAATTGGTTCATATCATTTACCAGAATTAATTCGTTATATACAAAGTAAAAAATCAATATGGTGTTTACAAAAATTAAATATATCAGGACCATTTTATAATTTATATTTTCCACTGATATATGATTTACAATTTTCAACATATTTATTAACTTTAATTAATAAATTAAAATTTTCTAATATAATTAAATTAATTATATGTGATCTACCAGAAATTGAAATATTGAATCGTGCACGTATTAGATCACATCGGAATCAATATGTTAAATATTATATTAATAATAATAATCATAATAGTCATAATGTTCGAAAAGATATACGCTTTTCACATCCTTCAACATTAAGCACTGACAATCATCCTCCTCAAGAACAACAACAACAACACCGCCATCATCACCGACATGATGAATGTTGTGAAACTTCTATAGAATTCATTTCATCTAGAGATAATTCATTATCATTATATCATTTACCGCATATTATAAATGTATCTAATATAGGTTCTAATGAAAATATAAGAATAAAAAGAAATTCAAAAGATTTTATAAATTTTTATGGAATTAAACAATCAAAGTAAGTAACGAAAATATTTTTTTGAAAAACAGAAAAAGAAAAAGAAAAGTATGAATAAAATTTCAACAGTTGAAATCATGAGACAATTGAAGCTAGATCACCATGAAGAAACTGGAAGCACTGGACGGCCGTTTCGTTCTAGTATGGGACTCTTCAGCAGTGAGCATCCACAGTCCCGCCTGTTGGGATTCGAACCCAGGAACTATCAGTCTCGAGAGCGAACGTTTAACTTCTAGACCATTGAGCCGGCATCCAACGGTGTTAATGTCTAACTTCATCTATTCCACAAAATTTCACCACCGTACACCATTATCTTCAGTAAGTTGATATTTCATAATAGACTTGGTTGAAATCCTCTGGTAACGGCTTCTCACAAGAACTCCAGGAAATGCCTCTGGAAGTCAGTCACTGGTGAGTAGATGATTATTATAAGAAGGGGTTTTGTGGAGATTTTAGAAATTTCACTAGTTGAAATCACCAGTCAATTGAAGCTAGACCACCATGGTGGTCTAGTGATTATGCGTTCGCGTGTGAGATCGACAAGTCCTGGGTTCGAGTCTCGCGGGGGACGGGATCGTGGATGCACACTGCTGAGGAGTTCCATGTTAGAACGAAACGGCGTCCAATGCTTCCAGGTTTTCCATGGTGGTTCAGCTTCAATTGACTAAACAATAAATAAAATTGTAGAAATTTATCATATAGAATATTGTAATTATTAAATTTTAATTACTAAAAGTATCATGAATCAGATCAGTCGAAATAATTTTAATCCAGTTTTTTTATTTTTATTTTATAAATTGTAGATTTAGAAATGTTCGTATTAAGTTTCAGTGGTAGATTTCTATCGATTTGGTTATTGATCATGAACTAGATCATTCTGTATATCATTAAAAATAAACCGTAATGTCATTGTATAAGAAAAAGAGAATTCAGCGAAGAAAATTATCTTTTCGACGAAATCATTTACTTAAGCTGTACATTCGTATATATAGTTATATATGGAAAATATATGTCTATAGAAGGATAGAAAGGATTGTATCACAAAAATGGATTCGAGAATAAATAACAAATGACGTTACGTACTAATCGAGAGGTAACGAAGAAAATAATTTATAGGTCAGATAATAGTCCCATTGACAAATGTGAAGAAAAGCAGCCAACACAAAGATCATACTGATAGACTGAATAATTATCAACAAAACTTGTATAAGATAATAATAATAATAATAATAACTGATTAGAGTTTAAAATGTAAAACAATAATTTAAAAAATTCAATAATAATCAAATAAACGTGCAGAAAAAGAAACACCCCAGAAACATACCCATCAAAGGAATTAGGGCCAGAGAAGGATGAGAGATTGGACAAATCGTTTCTGCACGTAAAATTCAGGCTTGACTTCATGGATTGCCAATACCTCAGGAATGAATAAAATATTGATTCGAACCCCCTTCGATCCAGTTCCTTTGACTCTGTAAATGACTTTAAAAGAAGAGTCCTTTGAAGCGATGTGTACGTAACCTCATTTGTTATTTATTCTCGAATCCATTTTTGGTGATGCAATCTTTTCTATCCCCCTATAGACATATTTTCCATAAATAACTATATATACGAATGTACGGCTTAAGCATATATATATGGTCGAAATATACTACTAAATAAACGTAACATTTATGTAAAAACATTAAATCAATATGTTTGTAATGCCCAAATGAGTAGAAAAATTAGTTTCTGATGTTTCGTAACTCAGTGTAAGTCACTTCTTCACAGAATAAATAACCAAATCAAAATTAATTCAAGTTTAAATAGTACAAAGGATTTGTTCAGACCTGTCTTTTTTATTGATCTCACATAATATTCTAATGTTGTTCCGTTGTACTATTTAAACTTGGATTAATTTGGATTCGGTTATTTATTCTCTGAAGAAATGGCTTACATTGAATTACAAAACTTCGGAAAATTTAATTTTTCTACTCATTGGGATATTATAAATATATTAATTTTATTTATAACAATCTGCTCAATGCTCAATTTATACGAAATTATCAAGTCAAACCTTGGTAATGATACCTATATATGTTACAATACCTCTTTTATGATGTCTTCTGCTACCGACTTTTAAGATTAGTAAAGTGTAGGGATAATTCAAATCACTTCCTATAAAAATATAGATAAAGATATAAAAATATATCATTTGTACATCTATATAAAATTTATATGAATCAATAACTTTGAAGTCCAAGAGATTATCTATGCGATTAGAACACACATGAATCCAAACATTGAACTTTACTTTTATTTCCAAAGTGAATTAGGTGAATGAGTGATATTTATTAAATGTCTTGAGTAAATTTTCATAGTAATTTCTCCACAAAGCATTAACGTCTTATCAATATTATTTTTGATGTATGTTGAACTTAATTATAGAGCATTTTTCTCATTGCTTATCAAGAAAAAAAAAGTCATCTACTTAAGAATGATATCAATACATAACTCTATCTGTTATAGATTACTCTTTTAAGCTTATGTCAAACATTTAAAGTAAACTAGAAAATTCACTACCATTCAATTTAACATTGGTATATAGTGTATGCTATTACAGGCATACCCATTGAGTCTTCCTTCACTATAGTTATATCGACATTTTTAGCAAACGTATCAGTCTGAACATTTGTGAACCAAATACTCGTATCTAATGAAACTAAAGTTTCAAATAATTAATACATTCAACCAATTCAAAAACATACAAAGAGTACATACAGAACTATCTTCTTAATGAATTAAAACATTCAGTTATTGATAATTTAGTGACAGAATAACATGAAGAAATGGTCATGTTAATGAATTTTAGATAAGCCATAAATTTAAGTAGTGATTAGTCATGATAAATCCCAAATACAATGAAACACATGTCCTGGATTCCTCAGCTAGATACCATTTGACTATGTATATAAAACGCTCATGAATCAGCGGCTATATCAAAGCAATTCATATACGATTCATGTATACTTATAAGAGATTGACCAATTGCAGTTCTAAACATCAGTGGGATGTTTTAAACAACCAATACAAAAATGTGTTAAAATTTATTCATCATGATTTATTTACCTAAATTATATAAATATTCTTAAACTTATTTGATATAATATGGATTTTCGTAGTAAACTAGAAAACATATTATTTTGTTAACAAATATTTTAGTAGGACCCTAAATTTTAACGTCAATTAGACCGGATGATGTTGTCTACGTGGTCACCAATTTCGTGGCCCATAATCTGACTCTAATTAGATCGTATGAATGATTGTTATTGAATTACACATGTCGGTTATCTTCTTATATTCTATCGACTTAACTCGCGTTAGTGAATAATGGAATTAAATAAGTCAATAATGAGAATGGATATTTGAATATATATATTGGATTTCAAATACGTATATTTTGTACACTCGCTGATCGGAACAGACAACCAGAGAATCGCAGCGAATGAAGCGATGAGAGAACGAAGCGAAACAAAAGGACACTCAGTGGAGGCGCGTGAGCTAACTCTACTTAATCAAGCGTTAATCAATATTTATAGTCATGCAAAAATAAGCTACTAACATGTGATAAGTAGAATAAGAAGTGCACACACATACGCCTATATAAAAACAGTCACCGTTGATAAGTGATTAAAGAAAAGGTTAAAACATGACTTCAGAAGAATGGATAAACTGGCCTGTTCAGAAGCTAGAATAAGTTATATGGGCTTAACATAGTAACCGACACTACAATATATCCAAGTTCATTTTAAACAATGACTTTTTTCAAACTTGATAAATTGATTGACAATATTACAGTGCTTTTCTATCGAAATCTTTTCATTATAACTCTTAGCAATTCTCAGATATCAACTGGAGACATACACTAGAATTATGTTGAAATTTACAGTCTAATGTGCTCTAAACATCATACTTTTAAATAAACTAAGTTATATATTTATGAATCAGATAGGAACTACAAAAAATGATCATAATTTGCTGAAACGTCATATTACTTAAACAATTTCTATTTCCTTTTTCAATATTCAATTACGAACAGTTATTAAAATAAAAAGTAGCTTATATACTACCAACTATATAATGGATAATCTCTAAATAGGAATATAAATAATAATCGTCAATTTAGTTCGAGTTAGATAGTAACTAATAGTGGAATCAACAAGGCGCATTTTTCCCCTCATTTTAATTCGTCACCTCGATGTATTCGCATCCCAATATAAACACCTACAAGTAGCATATGGGAATAAGAGCACTATCTGAGTTTTACGGTTAACCACTTTCGAAATTTGAGTAACATTTGTGACTAAATAATCATATTAAATTCTATTTATAAAAAAATTCGCCCATCTATAAAAACATAGATGAGTGCCTTAGTTCCTTAAATGTACCGAAGTATTCTAGGTCGAAGTAACCAGAATAACAGTTCTGTAGATTTAAGTAAAAACTACTTTCTCATATTAGTAAATATTTTTTAAAAAAAATAGATTTTTAAGTCGACTAATTTAACCAACAAAACATTTTCTATGAAAAAATATATCACATCAAGTCAGTCAGTCAGCTACAAAGTAGGACCAGGCACATATATGTATCGGTCCAAGTTGCCAGACCTCATTAACACAACAAGATGGACACCGGATTCATAAAAGTAGTTAATTCAGATGTGGTAATATATAAAAGAAAGATTGCAATGAGGATATAGTACAGGAAGAAAGAATTAGTTCGTAGAAAGAAAGATATGATGCGATTTTAATCTCTTAGTTTAAGGGAAGACAGAGAGTGTATACACCGACGCCATTGTGATAGATTCTGAGCCATGTCACCAAGAGTCTCCAACCATTGGTTACGAAAGTCACGCGGACCCCAACCAAGTAGTCTACATCTACTAACATGGCTAAGACTAGAAGTTAGTGACTTCAAGCACGGATGCCACGTTTTGATTTGGCCACCCCTAACTTTCTTCCAACCATCTCCAATACCGGTTAGCATTGTACGTCGTGGTGTCTATTCAAATTTCTGAAATTATAAAATCGACCTTGGTACATGAAATAAAAAGATCGCATGAATAAATTCTTCTCAAATAAATGGGTTCCCAACAATTTATGACTTATAATTTTGACAAAAACTGTATTACACTGCATCATCATTCGACTTCATTGAGCGGAGTACTTTAAGAGGTCTAACATATATATTAAACAGCCTTCCAATACGTAATAATTTTAATAGTCCAAAGGTAACATGGAGATGGTTGAATTTCACATTTTACATCACAAACTGACCTTATTTAGACTCCATAGCGGTGAGCACTCACGACCCTTCGGGGATTGTGGAGTTCATTTATGTTGAGTGTGAGATAGGTGCTTATCAATGATATCACAAGATCAAAGAGTAAGGTCGCAAAATGATTAGAGTTATAGATGCAAATCACCGAATACCGGAGTAGCGATCTAAATATTAAGTACTCGTCATATAACCCGAAGCAACTGGGTTCGATCCGTAGTCACCATGTGAATGAGCACCAACGAGGAGTCCTATACTAAGGTGAAAGAGTTATTCAAGCATCCTATTTTTCAGTGATTGACTAATTAAGATAAATTCGTGATTTGAGCCATAACGTTAAATTACAATTTAAAAAGTCCAACGATTTCTGGAAATAATTCATTTATCCTCAATGACCGAATTTTCGACCTAAAATATCCCAAACATTCAGCCTTTTCTGAAAGGTCTAAATGCATGACTAATATTTTTTAATTAAATTAACAACTCTGCAGCATGAAGTTGTAAATTTAGTAATTTATTCATCATAAAAATGTGATAATAAATGGGTGAAAGTCAAAACTACTTAGTATCTTTCAATATATTTAACACTGAGTCAACCTTTAAGATGTTTTTCTGGTCAAGTTATCAATTAATTAACTTTTATGTGTATAAACTGAGATGAAAGTTGTCGATTGGTTGGAGATAGTAAAAAAGAAACCCCAGACCAAGGTTTTGTGTTACTTGTTATCTGCAATCTATAAAAAAAATTATGATCCCTAGGAAATTCCAATCTGCGTCACCCAGATTCGCCGTCCGAGATGTAACCACTGAGTTAGTTAGACATGACTAACTTTCCTGTGACCATCTCTAAATGCCTAACTTCTCAACCTAATACAAATGGTGTTAAGTCATTTAAACTAGTTGCTAGATTGTAACTTGATGGATATGTTTTGATCAAGACTGAAAGGATGAATAAACATAGCACTGGTCACCACTAAGTAATAAATCAATAGTATGAGAGCAGAAGTATAGTCTTATTAACTGTAGGGTTATTGCTTAAACGTTATCAATATGGCAATTAATAATTAAGTTCGAAAATTAGGTCCCGATTTCAAATGTTGAAAAGTAACCTGAACGATCTGTATCTATCATTTAATTAAGTCAGATGTTTTTCATACAAGTGTTTCATTTTGCAGAAGAAGTTGTCTTTGGTTGTTGGCTGTCCTGTTTTTTTGTTTAACATCTTTTCATTGAGGTTTTCGTGATTCAATATCCATTAACTTTACTCCCCATATTAATTCAGTTTACTATTTAAATGAACATTAATTTTTCTTCATTATGAATATCGTCTTATAAAAAGAGGATCATAGTTAAACTCTTTCTGCTGAGGTTTATTTAGTAAGCGTATTATCCAGTTGAACACTCCAATCATAAGTTATTATTAGTTAATACTGAATATTAACATAGAATGTAATATACAATAACATTTTTGTTACTGTAAATAATTCATGAAGTTTGTTATAAAGACTAGTATATAGTTATTTTCAGAAGGGGTTTTGTGGAGATTTTAGAAATTTCAATAGTTGAAATCATGAATCAATTGAAGCTAAATCACCATGGAAAACCTGGAAGCACTGGACAGCCGTTTCGTCCTAGTATGGGACCCCTCAGCAGTACGCGTTCACGATCCCGACCCCCGCCAAATTCGAACCCAGGACCTATCAGCCTTGCGCACGAGCGCTCAACCACTAGACCACCATTAGACCACTGAGTCGGGATCCAATAGTGTTGAAGTCCCATACTAGGGCGAAACGGCCGTCCAGTGCTTCCAGGTTTTCCATGGTGTTCTAGCTTCAATTGACTCGTGATTGCAACTTTTGAAATTTCCAAAATCTCCACAAAATCCCTTCTTATAATAATCATCTGCTCACTAGTGACTGACTTCCAGAAGCATTTCCTGGAGTTCTTGTGAGAAGCCGTTACCAGTGGAGTTCAACCAAGTCTATTATGAAATACCAACTCACTGAAGACAATGGTGTACGGTGGCGCAATTTCGTGGATTGGTTGAAATATAGTTATTTGTTAATAAAAAGACAACTAATATAGTCATTTAAAAAGTGAAGAATTATGTAGAAAAGTGCAAATTAAGATCTTTTTAGAAAATAAATCCAATGACCTATTTACAAAGTGAATACATTTTTGTTAATTTTATTATTATCACCATTAACTCATTATCAGATATGAACTCATGTGTTTAACTCCAAATCACAAGTTACGTATGAGGTTTTACGATGTTGTAGTGAACAAGAACACCAGTGTGGACAATCGAATGTATTTGACATGAAATTACAGAGCATCTCAATAAAATCTGAGAACAATATAGTAAATAGTTAATTTGCAAAATATCAATCCATCGTCTCAAATTTGACTGTTCCTTTTGTAAATATCAGTCCATTGTCTCAGATTTCATTGTTCATATATTTTCATACCAACTACATTCTGTTTCCGTTCTCTCCTTATTGATCTCCTGCTGAAATACATTCTATGCCTGACCACCGTTATATACTACTTATGTGGATATAAGTAACCCACAGCGCAATGTTACTCTATGAAACTTAAGTAGATAAAGTTGAAGAATCTGATACTTAATGACTGAACACTAAGTCAGAGCTCTACTTTCAATTCTAGAAAGAACAGTAATATTTTAAATGCTTTATTTATACTGAATTTTTGTGTTTTTTAAAAAGCCAATATCAACTAATCGATGTTTATAAACATTTTCATTTTTACACCAGTCGAAAGTATCATTCATTAGATGTTCAGCAAATCTTTTCATCAACTGACTTGTACACAAATTTACAAAGTCAAGAAATAACTGATAACAAATTAATAACTAAAAATAACAATGAACATTCAACTGATTTCACTTCAAATGGTTTACAAACAATGAATTTAATTGAAACAGCTAATTGTGTTCAGTCAAGAAGAAGAACACGTAAACCTGAATTAATTTTCATGAAACAGTCAAATCATGTAAATTTTTATTTTTATTTTTATATAAACCAGGAATTGTAATTTTGTTGTTGTTGAATAAAACATAATTGATATAAATGATTTGTAGAGATTGTAGTACTTTTAAATAAAACTCATGAGTCAATCTAAGCTACACTATCATTGAAAGCTTAGAAGCAATGGGCGGACGTTTCATCCTAGTATGGTACTCCTCATTAATGCGAATCCACAATCCAGCGCGTGGGACTCAAATCCAGGACCTTCAGATTCGTATGCGAACGCTTAACCTCTAGAGCACTATCTGTCATGATATTAAATCTAAAAATGAAATTAAATTTTATGAAAATAAGCAACACAGAAGCAATTGACGATAATAAGTGGCCTATGTTTCTAAACTGTCACCTGACGGTATAATAAGATGACATCAGCCCATAAACTTCTCGAGTGTTAGGATATGCAGACTTCCTGATTGAAAATCAAACAGTATTCATGGCAACCGGTTGGAAAACTTGAGTTATAGTTCTTTAGTTGGATCGAATCTCTGTGCTTTCGTAAACTTTGATATGACCATCATTCCTAAGAACGCATACTTCGAATGCACTTGTTCCTTCTGAATTCTCTTATGTTTAGTCTTCCATTACGCTCACCATTATTTCTTACTCTAAGCCATTGATAATGTTAGTTTCCTGTAACTTTGCTGATATGAGTTGTGCGAATTCAGACAGAATCACACTTATCCAAAGTTTCACATTAATAATGATTAAGTGGTTGGCATACCTTTCATTTATTATCAATAATGAAATAAATAATAAGAAAGCAGAATAACATTTATCTTTCCGAATTTCAGAATCAAGACATGACATTTTGATGATAAAAGATGAATCCTCTCAAACCTAGAATAGTTTCAAAAATGAGGCATATATAAATTCAGGAAATTGTTTTTTCTAAAATCCCTTTGAATAATACTAAGTCGATCACCAAAAAGATACCATGTACTTAATTTATTGAGAATCATAAGAAATAGAATCAATTTTCTAAATTCAGATCAAATGGTTCATTCAAAGTTTATACCAATTAATTTGTGTTTAATGTGTACTGTTAAAACGTGACACATCCTCAGACATCGGTTTAACTCAACTTGTTGGATTTTATTTATACATCAATTTGTGAAATTTAACTTACCAGTTCAAATTAACTAATTTAAATGGAACCGAAAAGCTTCCAATTTAATGTCTTAAGGCATATATGTCTTTCATAAATATATTAACTAGGAGATAGCGTCATCCTAAATACTTCACTTAAGTGAAGTTTTCTTCTCTGAACGGAATGGTTTGGTCTTGAAACTTTAATTATTCTCTTAAGCAACATTACTAGCACAAACTTTAGGTAGAATTGAAGTGTTCAAATTCCTCCAGATATGACTCATAGCTTGTCCCACCGAGCTTGACTGGTTACCATCGACCATTGATCCGTCTACTTCTTTATTTTGATTGTATCTCCCATTGATTTGATTCTTAGTCCTAGATTTGTCCATGATTTTTCTCATCGGTTGGTAAATTGGATCAATTTCAATGTGTTTTTGATTGCTGATTGACCTGAGTGCTATCAATGTTGTTCAGGAGGATAATTAAAGCTTCATGACCAAACTATTCAACTCAAAGAACACAATTTTTATGGATTCATTTCCAATTAACTATTAAAATTAATCAATATCTATTTTGATTTATTCACATAACAGGTGGATTCAACAACTGTTAGTCCGCCAAAACACGAAGAACTATGTTTGAATAAAGAAACGGTAATAAGAATATCCAACAGTAATCTTCAAGGTAGTAACTTTTTCACATACATATATAGTTACTACTAATAGGTAGCTAAAAGTTGTTTTCAGTTTAAATATTATTATTAAAAGAAAGGATACGCTAATGTACTAATTTCTTCTTTTAATTTCAAGAATAGTTCACAAAATCCAATTTGATGTATCTAATAATCATCAGTTGCGATATCACAGTTGATATACAGACAAAAATAACTGACTTACAGTTATCCCAAGTATAATTCCGACTGACATAATCATTCTTGATTACAGTGCATTAAACAGAAGATAATCGGGTAGAATGATTTCATTTTAATTATCATTAACAGCAGTTAAAAGACGCAAACATAAGTTTAGAAAGATCATTTGGAGGGATAAGATCAGCTATAAAAGTAACAACTTATTTATTTATTTGAACACATAAATACTGGTACAAGAGGGCATCAGATACATATGCGCCACACAAATCTCATTTGATTTGCGTGAGGGCTGTGATACTGCCCGGGTGCCCAAACCGAAGCAGGTAACAACTTACTAGAAAATAATTTGTAGAGGAAGACTAAAAAATCAAGATTAATCAGTAATTCTTTGACTTTAAAGATCAAAGAAAGGTTTTTAGTAAAGTTGAATTGTGCGAAATTTAGGACGAAAGTCTCGTGTTATTTGGACATATCTTCATACTAGTATTGATATTCACAAAAAAAATCAAACCTCGTAATGCTCTCGCGTCAAGATTTTCAAAAACGTATTCAACTGGTATGATGTTAGTATCCAACTTGACTAAAATCATGTAACTAAAATCAGTATTAGCCCAGGATATCCAACTATAAAGCCGAATAGCTAACTCAGTCTAATGTTTAATTAATTTTTATCAAGCGCTAAACTCAATGATTGTCTATATATAAGATATTACATAAGTTGTTTAAAGATCCCCATCACAGCGATCTTAGCCATCCGGATTAAGAAACCGGAGCTATGCGTACAGAAGAAATATATTTAACCGCTACTCCTCCCCTGGCCAACATCAAGTCCAATTAATCAATAGTAAACTTAGCTGTTTAATTTGACTATTGTACTTACGACCATTCGTAATCAAATGTAATTGTCTCTGTTATCTTTATTCACAAACCTTTGTATTATTATTAATATTGGTTAAATACCATTATTAATCTTCCCTATACATGATTCATTCACTTCGCATTTATTCCTCCTTATTACACGCAATATAGCCTTCCACTAAATATTTGACCGAATTGTTATTGCACTATTACTTCTCTCACCCTATTTGACCCATATTTATTCTGATCATGGATCTTAAATTTTCACTTCACATAAATACAGATTCAAGTCAACATTCTATATGAATCATATCAACATTAACAACTTTATTGTATGTTGTTTAACAATCCTAAATTCATATGCTTTAACATTAAACGATGTACATTGCCCTTAATCTGTTCAGTTTCCGGATTATTAATCTGGATATATGAATTGTAGAACTTGAAGAGAATTTATGGAAAAGAATATTCTTCATTCAAATATTACATTCGATTGTAATTTACACTGATCTAATTATTCAATTATTATCCCTATATGCAAAAACGTTTGATCAATCAAGATGATTTCGGAGTATCTAAGTAATAATCATCAATTTGATTTGAAAACAAGCCCCTAAAAACTTTTTCGCTTCTTTTTTTTTCAGACAAAAATGAAACTAACAGTGAAATCTCTAATCAGTTTGAAACACGTCCAAGGAGTGTGAATGACCAGGTAATTTTTTCTTGGCAACTTTCTTTTCATAAATGTTTATCAAAACTTAAAAGAAAAAAAATTCATATAGATTATGGTTATTATTCAAATGATATGCTAGCTATTATCTTCAGTCTAACCTGAGAGGAAGTGATAATATCCTGTTATTTTCATCATTTATCATATATTATTTGACTTAGCTTAAATCGCTTTTACAATTTGACATCATTCTAAGGTGAATAAGCGTTAAGCGTTCGCATGTGATACTGAATCCGACGAGCGGGATTGTGGATGCGCACTACTGAGGAGTCCCAGGATAGGACGAAACGGCCGTCCAGTGCTTTCAAGTTTTCAATGACGGTCTAACATCAATCGGTTCATGATCTCAATCAAAAACTTAATAATCTTCACAACCCTATACTGAGAATAAATAAGTCATATCTTTAATGACAAAACATCTCTAATGCTTTAGATTGGTTTATTGATGTCTTCATTGGCTATTATCTTATATATTATATGGTCAAAAGATATCAGTGCCAATTTCATAAACTTGTGATTATTCAACAACAAGACTTATATACAAACTTAAACAAACGTTTACTGATTCAAAGATTCAAGCTATCAACACTTAGTGATATAGGATAGTTAAAATGTGATTCATATCAAGAATTGTATAACAAAACAGTGTTCGTTTTTCAGTGACAGATTTACTTATAAGCTATAAATTCTACTATTCTGTAAGTATAAAGTATCCAAATATGTGTTGAGTAATAAAAGAAAAGTAATATAAACATTTAATGAAAAGAATTCTATACCTTATTAACAACCATCGTATAGCAACTCTCCTACAAGCAATTTTGTTGGGATATTCAGGAAAATATCCCAAAAATTATCCTGTTAAGCCTATGTTATCCTTGGACATGAAATGGTATCATCTTATTGGTCAATATTTATTTAACGTGTCATTTTCCTACTGGCCATTATTGTACAATGTTATTTCCTATTTTATCGTACGATGTGGTCTGCTTGACTGGTATATAAACAAAGTATGTTTGAAATATAATGATTCATAACCCAGTGGCTGTGACTTGTGTTCTGGACTCAACTGGCTGGGTTAGATAGGGAAGCGAGACCAATCAGAACCCTAGGCTGTTCTACGTGTTTGTGCGTCTTTGGTCCGATCAATAATTCGCTACCCTTAATCAGCAGCATCATTTTCATGTTATAACAAATTTCGATTATGGTTAACTTTTTTTCAAACCCTTTTATTAACCTATTTAACAATGTTATCCCGAAAAGTAACAATTCGTCTACTTCTTTATGTTATTGTGATCATCATCACGTCTGTATAAACGTGTACGCTTGATCACATGTGACGACATACGCACATATCTCTCTCAAGATTAAATGTTATTCGCTTAAATATCGCTCGATGAATCATTCTTTTTCCCATATATATATATATATATATATATATATATATATATATATATATATATATATATATATATATATATATATATATATATATATGCTCGAATCTTGCTAATTGCCTAGCTGCTCCTTGGTTCGGTTTGACCATAATTTCGCCTCTGTATTTGCTCGCATACACATATACTGCTCTGCTTCGAATCCGCTTAATGGGCTTAGAACTTTGTGATCTGTGTTGTCCGTTTTTTTCTTATTGCCTTTTGAATTCAAATATCGTTGGGATTTGTAAAATAACGGTTTAAAAAAAGTGATTAATTAACGAAACTAAGCCAATACAATCTCTTCCTAGATAGTAGTACAAACATACAAAAAGCAAGATTTAATATATTTCATTCATTTTCAAATCAGTGAGAGAAAAGCAGTTACATAACCAATTATAACGATGGTTATTTGGTATTTAAGTTTACTTTCGTGTATAACTTTTCACTGCATGTTCTCCACAACCCCTATACTAGTTTTCATACATAGTTGTTCCTATTAAACTCATATCATTTATTTATGTTGGTATATATATAGTAAACTTACTAGCTTGTTTTGAACTATAACTATCACACGGAAGGAAACTAACCAAACTTATCATTATTATCAATCTTTATTTCGGTATTATTTTAAACAAAACAATATTTTATTCACAGATTGAAATCATGAGTCAATTGAAGCTAGACCACCATGGAAAACCTGGAAGCACTGGACGGCCGTTTCGCCCTAGCATAGGACTCCTCAATAGTGCTAATCCACGATCCCGCACCCCGTGAGACTCGAACTCAGGACCTATCATGATTTCAATCTGTGAAATTTCTAAAATCTCCACAAACCCCTTCTGATAATATTTTATTTATCAAATATAGCTTAAAGTACTCGTTTTTTTGTCACATCGTTTGGATGGAAATCAAATGACATTGCCTAAAGATGAAACAACCTACTTGATAAATATCAACTGCTCTAACCGATAGTCCACGCTTCATCGTTATTATTTATAGCAAGTTATAAATAATAGGAATTGTCTATTTTTGTTTTAACAATTGACTACACCGTCATTGTATAATTTAAAATATTGTATCATCATAGATGAATTGATATAAATATAATCAAAAACTATAGTAAACGTATTTAGCAGGATTTATGCCCATCTAGTTTCAAAATCACAAGGTTAGCTTTAAATAATCGTTCTCCTAAAGCCTGATCAACATTTAAAACTAAGTTAAGTAATTTGAGACTATAGTTCCATGGTTAACATCATTGACTGATTTTAGTTAAACAACCACAGAAGAATAGGAATGATCAGACAACTGTTTCATGCTAGTATGGAACTTCTCAATGGTGCCAATGTACAACCCCATCATAAGAGATCGAACCCAGAACCTTAAGGTTTCATAGCAAGCAACTGGACTTCAGGCTACCGAATTGACGTCCAGTAGTTTGTATTTCTAATCTTAATTATCTAACAATATTCCATGACCATTTTTCAATGTGTATCTATAATCTCCCTGTAGTTTTAGACATGTTTCTTTAACTAGTGCCAAATGACATGGGACCTAGGTTCATGGCTTGTTGCTAACTTCTTTCAGCCACCTGATACAATTGTAGAGTGACTTAAACTAGTGTCAACGCGTTCAATAATAACAACTAATTAAAGATCAAATAATGTTTTTTATAAATAGACATAAGCATATAAAGGTATATTGACGCTTGTCTAATAGCTCCCCTTGTACCAATATGTTGATCTATGTGTTAATTCCACATAACAATGCTATCTCTTTAACATCTATATCATTTTTACGTAGTCAACACTGTTATGATTATCAGTTCTAAGAGGGAAATTCTTCGAGAAGAATACTCATTATCAGTTATAAAAATAATATAAGTTTCATAACAGAATTTGTAATCATTATTAAAGTGATACTCCATACTTATTACACAACAGTATCATTCATAAATATAATGATTACATCATTTCGATTAAAAGTAGGGTAATGTTCAATCTGACTAACAAACAAATTATTTCTATAGGTATCGTTACCAATTTTGAATAAACTGAACATTGGGTAGATTGCTATAAATCAATAAATATATTTGTAATATCCCAATGAGTAGAAAAATCAGATTTTGGTGGAGTTTTGTTTTCTGAGCTGGATGGTTTGGTCGTGGAGCTTTCATCGCTCTAAAATCATACACCTGAGCTACAAATCTTCTCCACCATATAGAAAAATTGGATTTTTTGACGTTTCATGACTTATTGTAAGCTATTTCTTCAGAGAATAAATAATTTCTACCGATTTTCACCGACAATCTTTCTCCTTTTTTTTCTGAAAAGAACTATCTTAAATCATTTCAGAATAACTCTCCAATTCCTGAAAATAACAAAATACAAGTCACTAAAATATCTACTACAAATCAAAATGATTTAAGTGAATCTTCATTATCTACATTGAATCCGGATTCAAATAAAACTAATGATTTATCATTAAATAATTCATTGAATTCAAATGTTGATACAACATTCCATATACCAGTGAAATGGAGACGAGCTAAAACTGAAAAAATTCATTCACATTGTAATACAGATGCTAGAATTATTACAATACGTCGTCGATTACAATCAGCTGGAACAAATACATGGAATACGAAATTACATGACAATACTACATTCAGTAAATTGGAACAAAGTCGGTAGGTTTGCAATTTTTATAACAGAGTTTTACTCAGAATAAAAATCTAATGAATAAGAAAGTTGATAAACTAAGGTATTGGACTATAATATAAATAAGTATAATATAATTGATTTACCAGATATGATCTAAATTTACTCGAGTTTGAAATACACTATTTGTAAGTAGAAGTCTTAGTGATTCTATTCAATTGTTCAATCAGAATTAGATGAAGAATTCGAATCCGTAAAATTCAAATATCATAATCTCTAAGTATCAAACTCCGGAGTTATCATGAGTTACAGCAACTGAATAAACTAATCTTAGAATATGTACATCAGATTCTATATTCATTTAATTAGTTGATATATGCGGTGTAGGTAACATAGGAACACATACAAAATAATTCACTGTCCACCATAACACTGTATTTTTCATAATTATCGACAGTTCATCATATTTGTGTGTGGGCTGTGATACTGCCCGCGTGCCCAGACCGAAGGAGGAAATTAAGTTTCGGGTCAATCCAACAGTCAGTCAATTCTTTCTATTTCAATACATTATGATTGTTAGATGGTGGTTGGAGGTAGTCGGCAGGAAACCCTGGACCCGGGTTTCGTGCTACTTGGCACTCGTCAGCAAGGTGTACCTGTAATCTTGAGGGAAATGGTGCTCCCTGGCAGATTCGATCTCGTGTCACCCAGCTTCACAGCCAGAGATGTTACCACTGAGCTATCCGGGCTGCGACCGACCTCCTGTTCTTTTTTTAACGCTCCTTACCTTTTTTCCCTTGTCTTCAATTCCTCATTGTTTTGTGTGGCGCACATATATTTGGTGCCCACTTGTATCAATATTGATGTATTCAAATAAAATAAATAACACTGTATTATTATAATTCTATATCGAGACCAATGAACAAGTGCTGAGAATATAATCATTACATAGTTTGCTGTCATTCGTTGATTAATACAGTATTTATCAATTTCAGATGGTCACTTTCTATGATTGACTGATAGTCTTAAGTAAGAATATATTGCTAAGGATATCTTTGTCAAGAAATTATGTTAGAGAGATATTAAGAATGATGACACTCCAATGTGGCAATAATAATATATTCTCCTCGGTCAATCAGCATATGCAGTAAAACTGCCTCCCTACATCGAAAGGCGAGGGTTAAAAAATATCATCTCTCAAAAAAGAACACATCTCACCTTGCTCCACAAATTTCCATCATTGGCTCTAAATCCTTTAAATTAAAGAGCTAGTATAGAGAAAAAAAACTTATGAAAAGACAATATGTTACTGTCCTCTAGTAATTGTTACTTAATCTCTGAGGGACTGCTCCCATGTGAAGAAGACCACTTCTAACCCAGTATCATTTTTTTTAAATACCTTCAAAAACTAAAATAAAATACATATCCAATTTCCCATAGTTTTTTTTATTCATCTATAACCAAAAAAATAAATCATTCAATTAGATATATATTTTTTCTTTCATTATACTTTTTTTTTCTTTTCATTCAAGATCAAATAATTTAACAGTGAATAGTAATATGAAATACAAAAATTCTTCAGTAGATTATATACCACTAATAAAACAAAAAAGTAGATTAAAAATAACTAAAGAAACTTTTACACAATCATCACACGATACAAATGAATTGAATAATAATAATAATAATAATAACAATAATAATAATAATAATAATAATAATAATAATACAATGAATAAATGTAATAGAGAAGTTAAACAAAATCTAACAAATGATCAATTATATGATTTAACAAAATTAAATGAAAATGAACTACGAAATTATTAAGAAAAATAAACGAACAACTCCTATTAGTAAGTTGTAAGATGTTGTGTTCAATTTCATTACTATACAGTAATTTATATTCTTTATGATATTGAAATATGTTCGTTTATATTTTTAGTATTCAAAATTATCCATATAGGCATTAACAATTTTCTAGATGTATTATTTATTATCTATTTACTTAAACACATAAACATTGGTACAAGGAGGCACCAAATACATATGCGCTACATAAATCATTGGATTTGTGTGAGGGCTGTGATACTCCCCGGGTGCCCAAACCGAGGCAGGTGGTTTTCTTAGGGGGCCACATCCGGAGCCTTCGACCTAAAGGTCTGATCCACAAAGCAGTGGAGCATCGTAAGGAGATGCAGTCTCATGGTAGCTCGTGACCAATAATTGGTTCATACTCCATTTGTTCCTTCAGGATCATGGAGCCTATTTGCACCATTGGTTCGGAATCAGGGTTTTATAACTCCCCTGGGTGGACTCTCTGTGTCGACCAACTCGGTTAAAGCGCCGGACATTTGCTTTTCGTCCTCTCAATTCCGTAAACAACACTCCCGCCATGGGAAGGCAGTGAGTAGACTTCCTTGGCAGAGGCCATATACGCATGGTTATGTGAGAGCATTTCGAGAGGGAAAACGGACTCTCCCCACTCTCGGCCGTACCAAGGTATTTTGGGCACATAGTAGTGTCTGAAATAGAAGTAAAGCGAAAGTTTATGAGTCATTAACATGGGGTAGAAGATTTATTCATAAAGTTAGTGGCTGCTGTATCAAGTTGTTAATATAGTGTAAACTCAAGTAGAGTCCTCAAAACACACGAACCCAAAGGTTGAAAATATTCCATTGTAACCCAAATGCATCTATTGTTCATTCCTTTGTAATTAGTAATCATAGTACAAATTACAAATTAAACATTTTTAATACCAACCATCATTCGCACAAATAAACATAGAGTCTTATACAGAATCATCCTGACCAAAAATTCACATAGTATTGACATATTCAGGCCTATTATGATTTTGTTTTGTTTCTATGTACTATTAAAACCTGTGTTGATTCCATTCGTTTATTTATTTATTTACTCTGAAGAAATCATTTGCGTTGTTACGAAACGTCAGAAATTCAAATTTCTACTCATTAGGATAATGTTCAGAAATCACTTTAAAAAATAAAAATGACTTTGAAGTATTAGAATAACTGTTAATTCTATTGAAACGTTCAATTGTACGATAGAATGAAGTGGGAAAAATTAGTACCCAAAACAAAACTTTTGTCTAAAAAAAAGTGGTGGTACTACTACTATAAAAATATTCGCAAAATAATTACAAACCTTAATTCATCAGTTGTTTGTGGCGTTTAACCTGTCAGTGTGTGTATAACAACTGCAAAATGAATATTTATGATTAACCGTAGTATAAATAACAGCAAGTAGCTGTGTGTAAAGTCAACAATGTCAGCAATAGAAATGGAGAGTAAAAACATAAAATATGGATGGAAACTATTATACTTAAATAAAGATCCAGTGAATGAGTCAAAATTGTAAATAACTGTTATCAATGCTAAAATTTGTTAATTACAGTAACAAATTTATGTAAATATTTAGTAACGCCATACAACGACAGAGAAATACGATACATCATATACTTAAAATGAAGAGTGAAACTAGCTACTGAATATTATTAAGTAGTATAATTCCGCTAAAAAATGTTATCGAGAAGTAAGAAATGAAGGTAAGATAGGTAAACAACAAAAAATAATAATTAAAATCATATAATAATAATTAAACAAATTATATCATACCACTAATTAATAAAGAAACAATCAAAGAAAGGGAACATTCAATTGGTGTTAAAGTAAGTTAATGATCAAATCAGAATGGGTTTTGTGGAGATTGTAGCAATTTCAGTAATTGAAGCTAGACGAACATGGAAAACCTGGAAGCACTGGACGGCCGTTTCGTCCTATTGTGGGATCGATTCTGTTGTGAGATAGTGACTCACTGATGACAATGATGGATGCGTCGCTTAATTTCGTGGATTAGTTGAAGTTAGACATTAACACCATTGGATACCGGTCGAGTGGTCTAGTGGTAAAGTGTTCGCGCGTGAGACTGACAGGTCCTGGGTTCGAATCCCGCGGGGTAGGGCCGTGGATGCGCACTGTTAAGGAGTCCGAGGATGGGGAAAAACGGCCGTCCAGTGCTTCCAGGTTTCCCATGGTGAAATTAATGATCAGCTTTCAAAACCTTTGCGCAAACATTTTGGATAATCGGGTAAAGCAGCTGCTTAGGCATATTGTAGGTCAAAGCTATTAACTGTTTTAAGCTCATTTTTATTCAATCAAATCAGAAGATAGCATCAGTGTAGGACTACTAGTCTCTGATTATGACCGATTTACTTCAAATAACAAGTACGACAAAGAAATACAGTCGAGCATACTCTGTGAATAGTCGAAGAGAAATTATGGGAAGACATGAGGTCTAATAAATATTGTGTAATCTATGAAGATACTCAACCTCATGGAGTGACTTCAATTATATAAACATTGAAATTCAGGAAATATTCCCGAGTTTGGCAACTCTGAAACCACTTTCGCTTCTCCACAGAGCAATTCACTGCTACAATAATTATATACATTATTCTTAATGATCACTATGCTTAGAAATATCAATCTTCAGATCGTAAAATTAATGAAAATCTTCTACTTATTAGGAACAATCCCGTCGAAATCATTTAGCAAATATGTGTGCTGATCTACTGGAGGAAAATCGTAAACTTCGTAACGATCAATCAGACAATATGAATAAACAAACAGAACAACAAATGGTAACAACTAATACTTCTACTTCACTGATGAATCAGCCAAATGAACCAATTTATAAGAATTACAAAGGTAAAAAAGTCAAGTTAAGTTTTATCAATGGGAAAATTAAACAGATAAGTAGTAATCCAAGCATATGGAGGAAATCTAAGGTAAAATCTCCTAGTTTTAATAACGAGACAGATTTGTAAATGATATATATAATAACATCATACATGTACATATAATTATTCAAACAGTATTTTTCTGTAACAAATATACATTTCTATATATAGATAATTCTTTATGCACTGCCTTCATGTACAAAGGTATAAACTACTGACCACATACAAATAAATGCAGTTAACCACAGCTTAATCGTTGAGTGATCTTTATTTGATGAGTGAAATCAGAAATATGCATCTGCAATTTCGATAGAAGCATTATATTCAAACGGTAACAATACATAGTATAGATCCAGTCATCTAGTTCACTTAATGTTTTAGATGTTTGCCTAATGTCCTGTTTTTCACAAATCCAAACAACAATAGGAGTCCACTGAATCATTAAAAAGGATGAAGACATTTCAGCATAATACATTCGAGATTATCAAAAGATTTCAAGTACTAATATAGTAGTTTATAAATGGGTGTTATTTCAACGTGATCAAAGTTACATCATTTATCAGAGTGATTATCAAGAACTAAGGTTATTAAGGTTTTGGAAATAATAACCAACTAATTTATTAAGAGACAAGAAATTTAGTAATCAGCACTTACGATTGTTAAAATCCAAAGAGATCCTAAGACCATGAATGGACATGACTCTTTTGTACATAGAGGTCTGGTTGAAAAAAATGGTGAATTGCTATCTCATCAGATGATCGTAAGCGATAATTCTTGAGATACCATATGACCAGAATTGACCATATGTTTAGATGGTCATGCAAGGTAATGTTCGGATATTCATCTACTAAATGCACGCTTTGTACGATCGATATAAACTGCTCCAAAAGAACAAGTAAATTGATAAATGTATACTGAGGTGGGCCAAAGCCGTAGTTTCCCCTTGACACATACCTGCGTTTCTTGTTGGAGAAAACAGTACAGAGCTCTACTGAACAAAACATCTTTCTCAAAGATCTAGATATTCTTTTCTTCAACACCGCAGTTGCTGTATCTCTTTTGAATTTATTACTCAAGAAAAAACTTCGGAACTGTTGGAGTACATTAAAATAATTATCACTAACCGTGTATTTTTAACGACAAGGAAATATATGCATTCACTAAAATTCAGAAACTCGTCAGTGAAGGTTAGAGTAGTAGGTATTCTAGTTATGCTCTTTCCCCTACAAATGAACCTCTTGACAGTGATATTATGTAAATAAATTCACCATAAACTGTTGATAAACATTTGTGATCTGGTCTCATATTGTCCAGTGTCTATCATACAAGTTATACAACCTAATCATGAAGTATTACAGCGGAAAGTTGTGAGAGTAGGGATCGTAAGTAATTGCTTAAATTTATATAAATGGTGTGATTATTCAGGAAAAAAACTGTGTTTATTAATGCAAAACTCCAGCGAAAATATAGCGAAACAACATGAAAAATGTTCTTCTCATTGTTCTATCGAAATTTATAGATGGGATTAATTGCTTTAAATATGTCAAAATAAAAGCAATCTTTACTATAGGGAGTGACGTAGTCGAACGCGTTGACAACTTCACTTATCTTGGAAGTCTGATCAGCCCTAATGGGTTGGTGTCTGACGGAAGCTCATCACGCATTCGAAAAGCTCGTTTGGCTTTTGCCAACTTACGTCACCTATGGCGAAGGCGAGATATCTGTCTATCAATAAAAGGACGAGTATACTGCGCGGCAGTCCGTTCTGTTTTACTTTACGGCAGCGAAACATGGCCTTTAAGAGTAGAAGACACTCGTAAGCTATTAGTATTTGACCACAGATGCCTTAGAAATATTGCTGGCGTCTGCTGGGATCACCGGGTAAGTAATAGTGAGGTTAGACGCAGGGTATTAGGGAATGATGGTAAATCAGTTGATGAGGTTATGAATCTTCATCGACTGAGATGGTTGGGCCACGTGTTACGTATGCCTGAACACCGATTACCACGACGTGCAATGCTATCCGGTATTGGAGATGGTTGGAAGAAAGTTAGGGGCGGCCAAACCAAAACGTGGCATCAGTGCTTGAAGTCACTAACTTCTAGTTTGAGCCATGTTAGTAGATGCAGACTACTTGGTTGGGTTCCGCGTGACTATCGTAACAAATGGTTTGAAACTCTTGGTGACATGGCTCAGAATCGATCACAATGGCGTCGGTGTATACACTCTGTCCTCCCTTAAACTAAGAGATTAAAATCGCTTCATATCTTTCTTTCTACGAACTAATTCTTTCTTCCTGTACTATATCCTCATTGCAATCTTTCTTTTATATATTACCACATCTGAATTAACTACTTTTATGAATCCGGTGTCCATCTTGTTGTGTTAATGAGGTATGGCAACTTGGACCGATGCATATATGTGCCTGGTCCTACTTTGTGGCTGACTGACTGACTACAATCCCAATAACTAATTAACCAATGAAAATACAAATTCAAATATAATAATAATATTGTACATAACTGAAACAAACAACACATATGTATATTCACTGTACAACACGTAATAATCTTCAAAGCATACAACCATCTTTTTTGTTGTTGAATGTTTATTATAAAATTACAACTATAGAGAACATCCTAAAATTATTATGGTAATCTATGTTTTTAATCACGAATATTCTTCCACCAAGATAATACAGCACGATGTCGTTTCCAAATTGATTCAACACCATTGCTACCATACAGCCTATATTGGGTTTTTTTTAATATAATTATAAATATAATTAAATTTTTCAAAAACAAACATCATCTAGACAAATATATATACTTCTGTGATGGAATACAAAAATAGTTTCACGATACATAATAAGTATAACAGAAGTAATACATAGGACGTAGTAGTGTAGGGTGATGGTACTTAAAATATTGAGTTAGTTGTTCAATTTCGTCAAATCTACCTCTATAAGTGCGAACAGGTGGTACATTTGATCTGTTACAAAAAACTTTATACAACAATCATCATAATCTCAGTGCAATACATGAGTAGATATGGGACTAAGACCCCATTTCTGGAGAAACCTCTTTGGAAATAGTAGTATGGCACACATACATTGATAGTTGGACAGTTGAAAACCTGTTTATATGAGTATAGACAATACTGTTTTTATACAAATATATCATGAAGAAATACCACTTCTTGTTTACGAACAATTAAGGCTCACAAGGAAAGGAGTTTGCTATATTTTGCAATCCAGCTATAAACTATGACCACTAGCAATAAATGTTATAAAGTATGATTCGGCGAAAAAAACGGTGTCCTACTCGGACTAGAATTCTAACAAGCAGGTTAGACATTTAAACATAGCTACACTTACCGAAGTATGGGTAGCTGAATGGTCCCTCAAACTAGTCCAGTCAAACAAACTGAACGATGAGATGCTTATAGAAAGCCTAGTTACATTCCATATGTGACTGACTATTGGTCCATTAATATCATTTACATAGAGTCTTGCCCACGTAGTTCAATTACTCAGCACTAACACTATTGCATATGCAATGAAGTGTACAATATCTCAGTTACAATAAAATATTTGCCATATGCGATGTATAAACGAAATGAAATGTTGGTCAGTATAAACGCACTAATTGATAACCATCAACTAGTTTTCTGAAAAATGTAAGGTGGTTAGTTTAGGTCTCTTATGCTTGAACCACCAAGTGACTAATGCTGAGGTAAAACGAAGAATGCAAGGTAGAAACGGCAAATAAGTTGATGGTATAATGAGAGGTTGACAAGTGTAATACACAATCTTAACACATGTCTACATCGACGTCCAGTGTTTATTGATGTGCTAGTAAGTTGAAAGTCAAGGGCGGCCAAACCAACAAGTGACATCAAACCATAAAGTCAATGAATGTTGAATTTGGGCGTGTAAATAAATTTTCACTACCCAGAGTCCACACGATTATCGTAATTAATGGTTGTAGATGCTGGGTGACATGGTCACAGTGACCCAGATCCATTCACACATTTTTCAACATAGATCTTCAGTTTTAACATTTCCTCATACTTTTCACTCCGCTAACTCTTTCTTCTCGAACCATATTGTCCATACCTAATATCTGCTATAGTTTCTAATAACATTACTACTCAAAATATTCTCGGATTTATCTTAATAATTTAATTTCATTATACTGATATGATGTGATAACTTGAACCGATGCATATTTGTGCCAATTTCTTTTTTTGACTGACTAATTGCAATCTCCTGTTGGTGAGTTTAGAACATAATCACGTCTATAGTTCCTTCCTTTGAAATTTAGTGATAAGTTTATAAACCTGAAGGACAGATACACAATAACGTTGAATCCTTCATATAAAACTTAGTCTAACCAGCTACTGTCCAATATTGTGTGTAGATTAACTAGTGAATTAATAAAATTCATTTTATATTCACCTTTAATTATATTGTCATGTTTGTTCTGTACATAATTCCTTTTCACCACAATTTATTGTTTGCTAATCAGAAAGCTAGACATCAGTTTGCAATCTGTTCAGTATAATTAGAATAATTGACAAGAGTGTATGACATTGACGTGCATATCCAAACATTCATATGTGTTAATTTTGTCTAAATTGTGAACACTTTTACTCCGCTTAGAAAAAGGATGTTCATCTTCATTTTATCAATTTTTTCTACATTTCAGACTGTTTTGGTTCAAGAGACATCATGAAATAAGATAAATCAATAGTATTCAATGAATTGTATGCTTATCACTCTAGTGAACGCTATACATTCGACCTAACATAATCTAAGTACTTTCTTTAGTTAATATCAAAAGAGTATAAAATTAATATAAAGTGAGAAATTGACTCTAGTAACACCATTTACAACTTACATGCCAAAGATCAAACCACCAGCATGTGCAGCGTGATCTAATGCGCTACGACGACTCAAGAATATAAGCCCAAATATTTCAATGCTAAGAATAATCCAAACTGCACTGCTCGCTTGAAATGAATGAGGTATAAAGTCAACAATAAACGGTACACATAACCTAGCATTTGGCTGAAGCATAGAAAATGCACCAATAATAGCGCATATACCTCCACTGGCACCTAATGATGGAAATGTAGATCTCCGTAGTAATTTATTCATCAAACTGATATAACCTGAGAAGATTCCTTCATACAGAAAGCCAAAGAGAACATCACAGTGAATAGCAATAATTAGAAATATAGTAAATCGAAATATTATACACCTCATCATATATCCCTGTCACAAAACTAAAAGATTATATACATAGTTTTCTCTAGAACAAATCATTTTTCTTATTTCACATTCCATATTCACACGTACTTAGAAGATTATAATTAGCAATTCTGTCTTCCAGTTTGGATTAACGGACCGATTAATTAGACAAATTAACAGCTCAGACATTTCAGTAATTTATGTATCTCAACAAATTAGTAAAATCTTCATGGTGGAAACCCGACTACTAGTTGCCTTGTGTCATTCTCAAAAACATTTAGTTAAATATTATCTTGACTAATTGTGGGGCGAAAATTTGCTAAATCTGTTGTAACTTTTAGTCACATAAAAATTATAAAGTTAAACTAAACTAATTGGCGAACGAAGGAAAAAAATTCATTTACAGTAATAAATAGGACAAATCATAAATTTAAATGACCTATATCCTTTCATAAAGTATTTGAAATTACTTTGACTAAACCCCTAAATGTAGTGATGGAAAAACCAATTTATTAACAGCCTAAGTCAGAAAATAAAACGATCTTAAAACCGTTGGTCTAAAAATATATCAGGTTTCTAAAATTCTTGTCTTATAATCAACTTCTCTAGGCACTTTTATGGTAAGGTATTCATTGTTAAACCCTGACTTACGTATCTTGATTTGTGAACATGTGTAATAATAGTAGCTCAATTACATGAATTCTGGTTTAAAGTTGAACACGCAAATCTGTACGTGGTTACTAAAATACAATTTTAGAGACTTAGAGAACATGATAGAATATTCTTGTAGGTAAATGCACTTTCTTACGTTTCGTATACACTCTTACATTATACTCCCTTACATGTCAGTGATTTTTCGATTCCCTCTCTCAAAGAATCTTTTTCATTATTCATAAACTATGAATATTTTGATTTAAAAAAAGGTACAAGGAACATTATCTTGTGATTATGACTTTATAGTTTGGGAATAAAATTGTGTAGAAAAGATATAAAAAATTATTACAATTGTTTATATTTCGATAGATCAATTAAATATTGTGCTTTTACTCACCACCAGCAATAAAAACACTGAAGAAATCCTCAACACCGACAAGCGACATAACTGATGATGCGAAACTGTGCAAAACATACATATTGATACCCAAATGGAATAGACTTTTGTGCGAAAATAAACTAAGCACCAGTGATAATACAGGAGTGGCTAGGGAGGAAACATTTTAGATTTCAAAAACAGGAAAAATACGATGAGGTAGAAAATAACGTACGTAGAAACAATTTGTGGAATGGTTAAGATGTACTCTATTTGATCCTGAAAAAGTAAACGCAAATCTTTCCTTGTCAATAACTATAAAACTAATGTGAACAGAACTTAGTACTGCCCTTGTAATCAACTAGTTGAAGATTTTAAGGACCCTGTTTTGACCAAGCCAAACTTCATGGGAAAATATATCAGCAAACTTGAAAAAATCTGTCTTTTACAAGACAAGTGAGCAAAATGGGAAAGCGAAAGCTGCCAACTTACCCGATAATTAATTATCTTTCAAAATAACCACCATATTAAAGTACCTAGTCGATCACCGGATAGTAATAGATATCAGTGCGCTTCATCTTCACTATTAATAAAATCCCAACGACCAAATTGGCAAGTCGTAAAAAACAAGAGTCAGATGATTCAATGAAACAATATGAAACTAAGGGAACGGACCTCGTGCTACTCAGTAGTCGTCAGTAAATGTCTGTATTCTTGGGGCAATTTATGCTTTCTGTGAGTCTTCAATCAACATAGCCCAGTCAGTAATGTTACCCTGAATTATGCCAACTTACAACCATGTGGTTTAATAGCAGGTACTGAACACCAGTCTATGGGGTAGAAGGATCTTCCATGTGTTATCATAATGGCTTTCATACTAAGTAACGTTAATTGATGGTGGTATTGATCGCAGTGAAAAGTAACAAGCAGTGAAAGATTTGTGCTAAGTTGCCATTTCTTAGTTTATGAGTTATCAGAAGTGATAGTAAATCTTATTGACCCTAAAGGTTTTCAGGACTAAAAATTAAGGAAAGACTTTCTAATTTTAATATAGTAATCCAAACCAATACTACAACATTTAATTCTTTACACATAACATAAGCATAAAGTTTGCATTTATAATAATAACGACAAGCAGCACATACACAAAACGTGACTGCTTGGTACGAAAGAAATACTTACACCCATATGGACTGCTGCAGAAATAAGGTAGAAGAGTAGAGGAAAATTGACTGTTAAGAGCAAGAAAGACCAGGACATTGCAAACCACGATAGCTAAAATAATCAGAAATTTCAGTACAGAAAATTAAATCTACCCCAGTAAAAATCAAAGGCTTGTAGAGGTCTGCCTAAAATCTTTTCTATGTAATCACGAGCCTGTAAAGCAAGTTACTCTACTGTATTATAATACCGTAGAAATGAAAGTTCTAATGGCGTAATCACTTTTTGCTTTGGAATAGCGAGCTTGCCAAGCCTCGAAGCCCAAAATAAGCGATCCCAGAAAAATCGCATTAGTAGATATGACAGTGAAAACTCCGCACTTTAGAGCCAATCTTAATCCAGGTTTAAGCACCGTGCCGGTGGATACCGGTGTCCGAAATTGTGAGTTTTTCGTGAGTAATTGACATTGCCAAAAGCAGATGATTTAAAATCTATTGTGAAAACAAAGCAGTAGAAACGTAAACATAGCTATGAATAATTTGATTCTCTTACATGACGCGAAATAAGCTACGTGACAATCTGAATAGTTCATCGTGTCTTAAGAAAATCTATCTGTCTGCAAAAAGTAAGATATGAGTCAAAATTCGACAGTGGTGATACTGTCGCGACTTCTTACCATAAACGACAAAGCAAACGAAATCTCAATCGACTGTTTTTGTATGGTTGGTGCACTCAAGGTAATTGGTTTTACATATGACAAGAGTGCTACCTATATAAATACACAATCTAGTAAGCTCACAATAATCTGTGGTCTAATCACGTTTAGAAGGAAAGAAAGGTCTTTAACATCAGGGCGACTTTGAAATAAATCGGAACGTGAACTTAAAAGTCTCTATGTTGATTTCGATACAACAGTGAATACATTGATTGACTCCAACACTAAGATTGCATCATGAGTCCGATATGGGCAAAACAATAATATTTTTAGTCCATGAAAAGGTCAGTCAGTCAGTCAGTCAGTCAGTAACAACGTAGAACTTCGTACGTACGTACGTACGTACATCAATTCGGGTTGCCATACCACATTAGCACACAAATACAATTGTCGATTCAAATCCCATAATGGTTGAGGTAGTAAAAGTATAAGCAGTAATCGAAAAGATTAGGATTTGATGTTATTCAGGAAGTATAATCCAGTGAAATAAACTAGGAAAAAGAAAAAAGAGACGAGGAGAACCCAGATTAGAATTTGGGAGAACACAAAGAATAGATGCACCTGCGCTATTGCAAGCGATTTTGAGCCATGTCGTTCAAGGTCTCCAACCATCGGCTGCTATCGTTTCGCGGATCCAAACCAGATAGTCTACACCTACCAACATGAAAAACTCCTTAACAGTACGAGGAATTAAACGACACACGAAAAAAATGCAGAAACCGACCTATACATGGGACAGGAAATACATAATTACTCTTGGTAAGATCCTTATCAGACAGTGTTTCTAGGGATATTATGAGACATGACGTGTGTGCCCGAAAGGCGGTGAGGTCGATATAACCTTCAAAATACTTCTCACACACCAAAAGTATCCTTCCACAAAGTTACAACTTAGCGTTTTGTCTGAGAATTCATACTTTAAACATTATTCGTTTGCCTATCGTTGTGCTCAGACACCAAACCAGGGTCTACAACAGCACAGCTATTTCTAAACAATGGAGGATTTCCATAGTGGAAAAAGCTTAAAGGTATGTAGTAGAATGACTACTATTTATTCGCGAGTTTGTGATGCGAAGTGAAAATAAGTTTGACAATATCACGGTCCAAATCTACCCTTTAGTATTAAAGCTGAGAGGACTAGTTTGTTCACTTCAACGTCGATCACGCGCTATGGAAATCTATCTCACATTCAACATAATTGACGAAATACTTCGGTAATAAGTGTTGTCAGGATATTTGCATTTAGTTAAAGAATACTACTGTGATTAAGATTATTCGTTGATAAGGGCCTCAGAAGTAGACGGACTTTTAAAACACTACACAGAATAAACTGATAGTTAAACTATCAGTGTCAATCGAATCAACTATAGCATAAGAACTCCCTACCAAATCCTTCTAACTGACTATACAAAGCGGAGAATTGAAGGGAAGCAAGTGTGTGTTGGTCCTTACAAACATAAATTATAGCTTAGTGTATCAAATATACCGATTTTTAGACAAGTAACACTAAAATTTGTGAAATTATACAGTCATAGAAGAGTGAAACGATAATTTCAAATATTACAACGAGATTTAAACCTTACATACTCCGTAATATCGGACGAATCCGTTGAGAAAACCTTATGCATGAATAAACCATGTACAGGTTTCAAGGTCGTGAGGTACACATCTGAAGGACAATGCTGACATGAACTTCTACTTTGCTTGTTACAATTAGTGAAACATTTGTTCCTTGTAGTCTGTATCTGGGCAGTTTGAGTAAGCTCTTGCTTATTGAGAGTTATGATTCATGATATATTCCTAGAAACTGAAATACTCAAGGCTGGACGAGTCTCCACATTAAAAGTCCAGTTTACTGATTAAGAAAAGTTTCAAATGGTTCCAAATGGTCCTGGACGGAATAGAAGAAGCTTTCGCTTATCGAGCTTTCGCATCAAACAGCAATGAATCACCGGTGCCACCAAATAGAAGTCTAGGTATATTTAACGATAAAAGAAACACTTTAGTAAATTATGGCGAGATGCTGACCTTAGTCCTGTAGCGGTAAATAAATCCCCAAAATAAATAGCTCTGTAAGTTTTCAACATTGGATGCTGACCAGATTAGTTTTAGTGAACTTGCCTGGCTAAAGGCGCTCGGTCAGGTATCCGCACCAGATCACGTGTTGGAACGCCGTGCTCAACATCTACCGCAATCGCTAGCCAGACTAGGTCAGACAATTCCGATATATTGGCAAACGTCAAATACAACTTCTGATCTCCTCGATTCTGTCTTTTGGTTTCTCTTGGTGGGTACGAGTTATATTAGGTGTTACTGGTAAAAGCGTTGTCAAACACTGAATACCTGTGCCATCTTCAGTCCTTAAGGATATGTCGATTTTTCCCATAAAGAACTCTTAGGAAGTCACATGAACTAGTTCAGCCGGCAACAAATTACAGCATTTGACTAGACTTAAGGAGTGCAAGGTGTGTATGTGGTCCGTTCTGCTATGTTGTGTCTCCAGGTTCTTGGTGTTACCCTTAAGATTTGTGTTGATGTAGTTATTTAAGAGGATTTCCGTAAGTGCTTAGAATTCTGTAAGTCATTAGATCACTTCTAAGACACCTGTACTCTAATGAGTAAATATTCAGTTATTGAGAGCTCTCTTCACAAAACTTGAATTTGAGTCCCCGAACCGATTTCATGGCTCGCCGTTGGATGCTTTTCAGTTTATCCTTATCCTTATGAAGTGAAAGAGGAAACATTATATTTCCATACTCTGAATGGGGTAGAACAAAAATGTTGAAGATTAAGTGGAAATTTCGATTGTCAAACTATCAAAAACTGCTCATTAATGTTATCAGTGCAAGATTTGCTCTCAGTATATGGTATACCAGACAGTATTCTTACATCCCCTTCCTATTTAAGCAGGTAACTGGCCAACAAGACATCCATTATGTTGATGGGCCTTACACGTAGGAGTCTTGGATGATTTCGACTGTTGGAATCTTCTCCTCGTGTGAGCCGTGTAGTCGTCAGTGTAACAATTCTTGGAAGTTTGTATTTTCCTGTTCAATTCTCCCCGGAACACCCCGTCATTTTCGTTCCGTAGACTGAGACGAAGGTCAAGGCTGACTTTCATGTTCATGATTATGAAAAAACCACCCTGAACCATGATCGTTTTTCCAAGTCTTTGGGTGCGTTAAGGTTGAAGTCTTTTATTTTGGTAGCTGGACTGCGTTTCGGCTTCCCATACTCTTTCCTGACTGGTTAGGCAATTTAATGGGTGAATCGAACGGCCAGTTGACCGACCGATTTTCCCATAGGGGCCTCACTGTTCAAATGTTTTCAAGGTTACGCTCGGTTATTTTTAGCCCTGTTGTTGTTGGAGGGGGTCCAGTCACTTACATAATTTTGGTGGACGACATTTGCACTTGGGAAGGCTGTACTGGGAGACCCAAGTTCGTCAAAAAAGTCTAGCACCGTCGATATTATGGTGGGACTAAGATTTAACATGTCCTCACTAGTTTTGATGTTTGTTCCGTCAACACATATGTTTTCGAGAACCCTCTTGTTTGCTTCACTGTACGTCTTTATTTGTTTATCCGCCTCAGAACGGCTTTTTTTACAGGGCTTCCGACAATTTTTCCACAACCTTGTCAGGATATCACAGGTGACAGCGAGATGGTATCGTGGCTATGTTGGAATATAAGTTGTTAACAAACCCTATCAAGTGTTAAAGATCGTAAAAAAACAATATAACCAAAACGGATAAAGACGATAAAAACGAGTAGTATAAAACGTTAAGATATACTGAGACCAGCTATGATGTGAAAATCGTAAAAGGTGAATAGCAAGCTGAGATAAAAACCACAGTTAACTATTAAATCGGAGAAAACTCGAGAAGAAAGGTAATCTACCGAGAGTTAGGCTCATAACGAATTATTTGTGTCAAATATCGTATTTTTGTTGCGTAAGATCACAGGAAAGGTTTTGGAAGTTGAAATCACGTAAAGACTAGACTTTTCGATCGTAAACAGTTGAAAATGAGTGGGTCCACCCTAACCACTATATCAAATGTCTATTAATTCATTCTTATGTTACATTCAACCTTATGTCCTATTAAGGGTCTTTAAAAATGCCTTTTTTTCTCCAAGCCTGCCGTTCTTGGGCAACGCTGACGCATAAAGTCTTGTAGAGTGGTGTCGAGTCGAAATTGACTGTGAACGCCACTACAAGGAAACACGTACCAAACAAATCAGAAGGCGTAGGTTGAACGTAAGCAGATTTATTTCGTTGGCTATCTCGTGGTATCGAACGAATACCAAGATGGTGCCAAGAAATCGTACAAGCGAAAGCAGGAGAATGGAGTACGTGCGAACAAAGCCAAAAACCGCGGAACTATGATGGAAGGTAATGGAAGCACAAAATGGCTGTAATTGGCACAGTTAAACAAAAGCACATTAAAACAAGCACTGGTACAGTTGGTTATAATAATAGTTGTTTTCATTAAACCAGTCGTGGTCTCGTGATAAAAGTGAGTCACTTTATTCTTTAGAAGGGTCGAAAACAATTGACACAAAACTGGTGGTTACGTACGACTGAATTCGCAAACCACACTAAATACTTATCTTTCATTTCCTATCTACTATTTGATATGTGTTCAGAGAACAAATAAATGCGTCTTTGAATTAGAGTACATGACAGTGATACCTTTGCAATGTCTGCTTTAACTCTCCCCTTGTTTTTGTCCTGTGTCATTAAGAGTAAACAATGAAAACAAACTACCAATCAAACAATCAAAGACTGGTTGTAAGATCTGGGATGAGTGCATTCATGCATAAAAAGTCTTTATCAAGCGAAAATATTTGAATCCAGCAGAACTTTAAGGCACCTACACCGGAATCTCTTTTCGAAGTGTTTTTGAAACAACTAAAAAGGAAGTTATAGACCCAGTTTCTTTGTGGCAAGTCTATATAAACCAACTGACAGCATCGATATGGTTCCGGAGCCTTGTTGATGTCATATGTGCGGTAGTTAAGCCACTCATCTTACTTACTTATCTACTTCTGTTACTCCGCATGAAGGAACATAGACCGCTCACCAGCATTCGCAATCCAACCCTGTCCTGAGTAATCCTTTCCAGCTCTTCTCAGTTGCTATTCTTTTTTTGCATGTCTGCTTTTATTTTCCAACGTAATATGTTCTTTGGCCTTCCTCTTTTCCTCTTCTCTTCAGGATTCCGAGTTGGGGCTTGCCTCGTGATGCAGTTTGTTGATTTTCGTAATGTAGCCACTCAGCAGCACTAATTTTAATCAATTTGATGGGTTTTTTGTGGGGTGTTGAAGTCATCAGCTGTCACATTCTAAGGCACCGTAAAAATATAAAGAAAATTCGTATACCAAGAGATACGATTGTCTCACCAGGTAAATAAATAAGCCATCTAATTATTAAAAACAAGCATTATAGATAGACTGAAGTGTAAGAACCAAATAAGTTACGGCGATGGTTACAAGCTAGACTGAAATAAGTTAACGGCATGTGGTGATGATAATAGTAAACAGGTTACGAGGCATGGATCAGAGACAATTGTCCGGGTGAGGGATGATAATCAATGGGCGACTATGCGTTTGTCGGGTCCTCTCTTGAAATGCAATGTTACTTTTGGCCATCCTAACAATCGACTTCACGAGTATTCAATCCGCAAGCCCCATGTTCGCGAGAGCATGAGTTTGCCTCTGCCGCGACTGATGCAACAATCACTAGGGTAGTTAATCGAGATAGCTAGACCCATGCCATGTTGGCCAGATATCAGTGATATGTCACACGATGGGCCGAAAAGTGGTCTTGTCCGGACGCTTGACCGGGTGACTTCAGCTAGTGGTGTGTCAGGTAAACTTATTATGGTCAGTACCAATTTTAGGCTCTCACAAAGCCACTGATGTTAATTATTTACCGCTACATAGGCACAAAAGCTAGCACTCCATAGACTCCGAGAGCATGGTATCTATTTCAGCAATCAAGAACTATAAATAAAGTTTTATTTGCCCCAACCTTTCTGTCACAATAACGATATTCATGTATTTGTGTGGTGAAACACGGGGTTTATGGTTAGGTTGAATTATTCCCTATCACCAATAAATCACCTCACATCCTAAGCATTTATATATTACAACTGATATGTAATTCTTAAGTGCTTTTTTTAACGGAATCTGTCTAATACTTTCTTAAACCAGAAGCCATGATGGCTCATTTGACTTGGTACACTTCTGGTATCAAAACAGTAACAGACAAAGAAGCGCTGTGGAACTGGATGGATAACTACTAGCATGTAATCAATCTGCCTATCCGTATGACCGACATTCAACGCACAACTATAATGCCATTGTAAGACAAATAAAGAAACGTAATTCTGTTTACCATACCAAAACTTAAGGTGACCAAGTGCATGAAAAGCCACTTGCGTTGGCTTAGGATTCCCGAAGTTCGTTTCGATTACAATCTAAGTATTCCAATGTAGTCAAGTGAGAAGTCAGGAATGAATTTGTTCGAAGATATATTTGGAAGATTATCGATATATCGGATAGCGTTTCATCTAAGCTGGCTATCGGTTGTAGGAGATGCGTGGCATAGTGTACCTACTTTTGATCTGGTGTGGATGAGTGACCGAGTCCCTTCAGCCAGGGTGTGTTCGGTAAAAATAATATGGCCAGCATCAATGAGGAAGAATTAAAGGAATATTTATTTTAGGGGTTTATTTATTTCTACAGTTCACTAATACCCTTGTGGGGTAGTGGTGACTCCAATACATGGTTAACCGGACGTTTAAATCGACGAGTTTGTCTATGGTAGACATTCTTCTGATTGCTTGCTATGTTCGGCAGAATCCGACCGTCTTTAAATGATACAGTGACCCATGTAATACAATATATCAACGAAAAAATGTGCAGTGAAGATATACATTGATTGTAGTCTTCTCCATTTTTTTCATCTTTTCCGTCTGTCCTGGAAAATAAAGAAGTGAAAGTGCAGGATCATGTCGAAATACACTCGTACGTGCGTAAGGGTGCAAAACGTGCAAAAAATTGGGTATTCCTGCGTACAAATAATATATCAAGGGTCTTCATGAAAGTACTGAACAGACAGCGTAAACCGTATCAGGGGAAGGTTGGCTTACCTTTAGAACAAGTCAACCGTCTACACCTTACCAAAAATACTGGGATAGTTGGTATAGATTGGTGCTTCCCATTATCTAAAACTTATACATTCAACTAAGATGTTTGTTCAGCTAATTTGTAATAAGAATATCGGCTAGTAGAGAACTATCGCCTCTGACATCTTCTCCACACTCAAACTTGTTTAATTGTACTAGATACTCACAACAAGCAACTGACATTTTTAAAAGCATAGAAACCCTTATCATGAGCGAATTAATACGACTAATCATTCAAAAGCTGAATGACGAGCCATTTAACAGGAATTTTAACTTAATATCTTTCGATTCGCTTGAACCTGTCCGTCTTCTACAGGTTCTGAATGATGTTCTTAGCGAAATAGATAATAAAGTACTAGAAATTTTCATATAATTAGAGTTTTTATCCAGCATAAAATCGATATCAGGGAGGAGCCTCCTGATAAGATGGCTGTCAGAATGTTTGAAGCTTTCAGGGTGCTTAGGTATAAATTACCAACCGATCCAGAAAAGCTGTAAGTATATATATCGGTGTGTTATATTTTTAAAAAAAGGAGCTTATTTCGCCAGGGTTTAGTAACTGGAGATAAAATTATCATATACTCTCTTTTGGAGTGGCTTCTCACTAGAATGTCTGAGTTGAAAAAGCGTGCATATTTAGCCCAATATCTTGTTAAAGTCAGTATTCCCGTGGATTTTATGCAGGATGAGGAAATAGCAGGACTTTATCAACAAGTAAGTTGGATACAAAATTTTTATAATGCATCTGAAGTATGAAAACTCGATTGAAAACTTCAAAGAATGTCATAGAAAGTTTGAAAGTGTTAAAAATGGCGGACTTACGACCGCAGAAGTGAAGAAAGATATTTCGGCGATGCAAGAGGAAAAGGACCAGTTACTCAGACGAGTAGAAAGAATGAAAAAGAAAGTGAGCTGGAAACTATAACTGTTATAATTGAAGGAAACTGTCACGTTTCTATCTAGGTCGTTAATGATGTGCATGCTGCTAATATTTTTGTACAGATATTTATTCTCTGTCTATTAATTTAGCCCGTATTCAGTCTTCAATCTTCAGTAATAAGATTCAGATTCAGATTTGTGTAGTAAGGACAGAAGGCCTACGGCCTATGTTATTCCTTTTCTAGTATGCTTCTGTGAGTGCCCAGTCTTCTCTTGAAAGAGTCAATTGAAGGTGCGGACACCACTGCTTCAGGCAGCAGGTTAAAAGTATTGATGACGCGGTGTAAAAACATGTATGTCACGGGTACTTTGTTCGTTCTTGCCTTTTCTACTCGCCTGCTATGTCCTCTAAGGTGTCCCGATCTAGTGGGAAGAAAGAGAGAATAAGTTATGTCCGAAATCATTTCTCAGTATTCTGTACATCAAAATTAGATCTCCCCTTAGTCTGCGATAGGACAGAGTAAAAAGGTCCAGTTTTTCAAGCAGCTCTTTGTATGATAAACTCCGGAGTTCCAGAATTGCAAGGGTAGCTGCCCTCTGTACTTTTTCTAGTATGTCCGAGTAGGTTGGTGAACCTGTGTTAATCCTGACAGATTGTCTTCCAGTGAAGGTCCAGCTCCCCCTTGAAAATATTCACCGATGGAGATGATACCACTTGTTCGGGTAAGGCGTTCCAGTCATTGACTACTCGATGAGAAAAACAGGACCCCACTTTAAATTTATTAGATCGCGGTTTGTGAATCTTCTTACTATGACCTCGGAATTTATTGGTGCTGGAGGAAGCAAAAGGATAAGACTTATTAACACCCAAATCATAATTAAAGATACGCAATGCCAGTATAAGGCACCTCGCGTCCTACTATACGACAAGAGGAAAAGGTTTAGGCGTTTTAAGCGCCCATCATAAGGGAGTTTAGAAAGACCCTTCACTAATTTTGTTCCCACACGCTGAACACGCTCAAGTGAGTAAGTATCCTTTACCAGACATGGGCTAGCTGCTTGGATACAGCACTTTAAATGTGGTCTTACATAGGTGGGATATAAAATTCGAATCATTTCCTCGTCAAAGCATTTGAATGTTCGGCGAGGTGACCATGTCGCACAAAAACCTTCGACAGCAGCTGCGTTGCAATGCATAGTTGTTTTCAAGTCATGGCTTATTATTACTCCTAAGTCTCTATGTTCTTGAACGCATGGAAGAGGTTTACCATCAATAGTATAATGGTGACTATTACCGTGACCGATGTGCATTAGCACACTCTTCCTAGAATTAATTTTTAAACCCCAACCTCGGTCCCATCTAATTAATTCGTTTAAGTCAGCTTGGAGATCAAAATGATCAGCCTCATATTTTATTGTTCTCCAGATTTCTACGTTATCCGCAAACAATAATGTCGATGACCTAAGCAACAGCGGTAACTCGTCAACGTAGAGAAGGAAGAGCAGAAGGCATAAGATGGTGCCTTGGGGCACACTACTTTTGACCGACTTCTAATCGGATAGCGTTTTATTGACCCTCGCTCTCAGTCTGCAGTCAAATAAGAAGTTTCCAATCCACTCCTGTACAGTACCTATTATTCCGAAGCTCGTGAGCTTCTGCATAATACCTAAGTGTGAAACCTTGTCAAAAGCTTTGCTAAAATCTATGAATATCACATCGATAGACGGGCCTTTATCTAAGGCTTCTGTCCAACCCTCTCTCGTAATAAGTAAGTTAGTCAAGCATGAACGCTGGGTACGAAATCCATTTTGCTTAGGAGCTAACAGATTGTGTGAATCTATGTGGCTTAGCAACCTAACCTGAATTATCTTTTCAAGTAACTTAACGACTATGCTGGTTAAACTGACAGGCCGGTAGTTAGATACGATCTGTTTCTGACCATCCTGAAATATAGGACTGACTATAGCGTCTTTCCAATCTCTTGGGAGTTGGGCGAGTGAAAGGGACATGTTGAAGAGTGTCCCGAGCGGTTTTGAAATAATGTCCGCAAGAGATGATAGCAGCCGTGGATGTAACCCGTCAGGACCCGGTATCTTACAAGGTTTGAGGTTAGTTATCAGTGGAAGGACAGTTTCCCCAGTCACTCATATGTCAGTTTAACATATCAAAAATTTGCAAATTAGGGCAAAAGATAATCGAACGACGTTGCTTCCTTCTGGGTTCCGACTTGGCTTTTATTTTCGGTTAAAACTATATACATATGTATGAAATACTGTACAAACCTAAGAGGTTTGTTATTTACTGATAAAAATAATGAGGATCTCATGGTCATTCGAAATAGATAAAATGCATGTACTATGGTAGCAAACTTTAAGTCTTCACCAAATTTCAGCGTGTAGAGTTTGATCTCATCTTTTAGTTTATTGAAGCTATGTAGGTCCGAGTCAACCATCCCAATCTTTGCACTCAAAAAATGCTTTAAATATTCGAGTTCTTCTATTCAACAAATAACACCAAATAAGCGATCTTACTAGTTGTTCTCATCCCTTATTTACTCTTCACAACTCTCTTCATATACCTGCTTCGCCATCTGGATATTTAAAGTGATCATATGCACACTTCACTTTTTATTACCTTGATGGTTATTCCAACTATTTTTGGAATCAGGAGCTTAGTAGATAACCATTTAGCATTTAACACAGTAGGTGATAGGTTCTATTGCCATTGTGAAGGCAGGCTGTTGAACATAGATCAATCGTCCTCAGTATTCAGTCTTCAGTGATAATAATCTAAGCATTTCTTCGTCAAAATGCTAAAAAAACCCACGACTAGCTCATATTATCCTGTAGTTTTTGGCAGAAACAACCTTGCAGTTGCTTGTAGTTTTGAGGTCGCCGTTTATCGTGACTCCTAAGTCTTTATAGTCTATTACTTTGGGTAACACAACTCCACGTATTGTGTAGTGATATGGATCATCCTAACTATTTAATTGCATCACCACTCTTGTGACAATTTACTTCTAGTGACCATCCGCCCATCCATGCTACTAATGAGTAATCTTGTATTACTATTCTACCTGATATACTTTGTATGGATCTCCAAATCCTTGTGTTATCGGCGAAGAATAGAACGGTTGACTTTGATACAGTTGGTAATTCATTGACATAAAGTAAAAAGAGAAGAGGATCGAGGATTGTACCTTGAGTAGCTCCACGTTTTACGGGTTTCCATGATGAGAGAGCTCCATTTACACTTACTGTTTGTCTTCTGTTATTGAGAAAGCCACTTATCCAGTCTATGACCATACAATGTATTCCAAAACTTTTCTGTTTTAATTTAAGATCTAAATGGGAGATCTTATCAAAGGCTTTACTCAGGTATATGAAAATTACATCTACAGCAATATTTCGATCTTTTGCTGTAGTCCAATCTTCTCTTGCAATAAACAGGTTTGTCAAGCATGATAGGCCCTTCCGAAAACCATGTTGTTCCCTGGATAAAAGATCATGCCCTTCACGTGGTTTATAACAGTCATCCGAATAATCTTTCCAATTAGTTTTACAAGTACACTAATTAGACTAACAGGTCGATAGTTACTAACTGAATCTTTACTCTCAGCATTATACACCAGACTAATTATCGCGTCTCTCCAGTCTCTTGGCATTTTGAGCTGCCACAGAGACATATCAAAAAGCATGGTTATAGGTTCAGCAATTACATCCGATAGAGCCTTCATAATCCTAAGGTGAATATCGCCAGGACCACTGGACTTATCAAGTTTGAAATGCTGAAGTAGTCTTAAGACAACACCTCTCCCAATAACTACAGGATCCTCCAACAAGCCGTCCCAATCACAATTAATTGTTGGCCACTCCTCATTGCTAATAGAAAACACTTTGCTGAAATATTCCAATAAGGCTTCAGCCTTTTCGGCATCACTTCTTGCCAATATTAACGGATTTTCTGGTACCGAAGGTGATGGAATTCCGATTTCGCCTTTTATATAAGAGAATAACGATTTTGGACTATATTTAGAATTCCTAACCAACTGTTTTTCATATGATCGTCTAGTCTTGCTTATTAACGCTACACAGGCATTCCTAATCTTACAATAACTGGATCTGCAATGTTCTAAGCCAGTAGAGATGAACATATTCCAATGCTTTTCCCTACGTCTGGTTATGGCATTACTTAGACCTAGTTATTGACATCAAATGGTAACTTCATGACTAATAATAAATGTTTCAGCGGTTGCTTCCTGAATCTGATTTAAGAACTAAATCTCAGTAAGATTATCCAATAAACAAATTCACTCGCTTGAAATACTTAACATTATTTCTGGTGTGAATTACTTTTTCTTCTCTTAATAATGCTGTGAGTAAATACAAGTTCATTTCCATAGCTGGAAGCTTTTCCTACCAGTAATACAATGCTAGAAATGGCGAAAAGGTTGCGGCTAGAGCGGGAAAAGGAGACCAAAATATCTAAACAAATGAGGGAACAGAAGTCACTAGTGAGTTTTAATTACTGGTACAGTTTTTTATTGTAATAATTTTAAAATTGTTTCTATTAAATCAATATTCTTTGAGCATGCTGCATTCTTCAAGATGAACAGTTGCAAATCTTTTATTTTCCTTTCGGACGACATCATCAGTGTCAACGTCTAGTTGAAGCTTAGCATTCACCCAAACTACAAGTCACCTCTACCATATCAAGTCAGCCTTAATTGATGAAAACAACAACTGCTTCTCTGATGATATATTAAAGTATTCTTATGAATTTCATCCAATACCGCTTGAATTTTATATACTTACTTACTTACTAACTTGCTTAATTAATTCTGCCTGTTACTCCTCGTGAAGGAGCATAGGCCGCTCACCAGCATTCGCAATCCAACCCTGTCCTGAGTAATCCTTTCCGGCTCTTCCCAGTTGTTATTCATTTTTTTCATGTCTGCTTATAATTCCCGACGTAATGTGTTTTTGTCCTTCCTCTTTTCCTCTTTCCTTCATGATTCCAAGTTAGGCTGGCCTCGTGATTTACATAGGTGGGTGACATTTATTTGCTTCATTCTAAATAAAAATGTTCAAGATATGAAGAAAGGTAGATTTTGAGCGTTTTCGTTAATGGATTTGTTGATTTGATGAGACTATTAGAGTGACTGAAGTGGATAAACTGTTAATTTTGATCAGGGAATACATTTTTAAATATTAACCCTACAGGTTTTAGATAACAGTGTTAAAGCTTTTATTTGTTTGTTGTCTGTAGAAATTTAATTTACAATACGGCACTTCTGTATATTCTATCAGCTTAATGCACTCAATTTTCACTTATTCTGAGCCATATTCTATTGGGTGTTTGAATGCTGATTAATAATCTACTCCAATCTATCCATCAGTCTTAAGGATAACAACGATTTAAAGAATAGTTTAATTGAAAAGTGAGTCAGTGTAATGAAAACAAAAAGCAACTGTTACTGTACTCAGAGACAAATCGAAATTGGCAACTCGTTCCCTTTGGATATATAACACTTTGGATTACCTAGAGAGTATCTTGAGGTTAAATTACTACTGTAGAAGTCCTTTACATTAAACTAGTCGAAAGTTAACGGGTATCCACTATATTACTGCCATATTCATATCAATTTATTTGTCTGTTACAACAATCACAATGATGGAATAAAAATGAGTGTGATTCGAAATATCTTCATTTCATGGAAATAAATTTGGTTACCGATAAAACTTATCGACTTCTGGCTGATTCAAAACTGCTGTGAATTGAAATATGTGCAATCACGTGACAACAAACCGTCAAGAAAGCTCTTTTCCACTACTTAATTGCATCACTTATCAACTCGAATTCAATTCAAAACGTTTCTGTCTTTCACTTTACTGTAACTTGTCAAGGATTATTTGAAAGATTGACATGACACAAACACATGGCAAGAAGTAAACAAAAACATATGAGCGAAAGAAAACCAAGTAATTATCAGAGCTCGTTCGTTAGTTCTGCCCGTATCATTAATATTACTGTCAGATCTCAAATAGACTATAGCCTACCAGTACTTCGAGCTCATCAGTTTATGTGCAGCACTGAAACTTTGTATTTCCTAGTACTTCATAGGGTTTTACAGTAAACTGAGAAACCTAGCATTGTGTTAAATGTGTCCTAAAAATTAAGTACAAAAGTCACAAAATTAATTTTATTGATCTACACTACTTACTATTTATATAAGTAACTACCAATAAATATTGTTTTTCTTATCAAATGAAAATAAGTTAATTTGATAAAACTGTATAGTTTTTGAATCCATTTATCTAATATCATCCTTCTGCCCTTATTTCACAAAAACAACCAGATCAGGTCAATGAAGCGATATCTTTTAAATGTGTTCTATGCATTTCACTGAAATCATGAACCAATCAATGTTAGACCACCATTGAAAACCCGGGAGCACTGGATGGCTGTTTCGTCCTAATATGGGACTTCACAACAGTGCTGATTCATAGGCCCGCAATCGGGACTTGAACTCAGGACCAGCGGCCCCACGCCAACGTTTAGCCTTTAGACTACTGAGCCAGTATGCAACGGTATTAAGATCTAACTCCAGTCAATCCGCGATATTGCTCAACTATTATCCATCGTCTCTGGTGGGTAATTGCTTCACACTCGACAAAGTTGAATACCGAAATTCGAAATATCTGGCTACAAAAATACGTCTATTATCTCGACGTAAAATTAAATGTTTTCATAAAGATCTGCCTATTAGTAACCTGTATAATTTACATTTTCGTAATACGATACGATTTTAAGGGAACCATTTAAGAATCTATACTATCTACTTGTTTTTATCAGTCTACTAGTAGAATATTGCAACTTGTGCATGAAGTGTTATTGTCTGATGACCGAACTAGAGTATAATAACATAGCGGAACACAATGAAAATGTTGACTGGTGTAGGAATAGGTTGGGAATGAAGAAGAGAAGATTGAATTAGGACGTTATCAGTTCATGAAATTATTGGCCGCTGAATTGAGACATATTAGTATGTTTAGATGACCTGATTGAAGTCCTATATGATCAGTTGTTGAGGAAATTTACGGAGCATAGTTCAGAATCGAAACCTCTTAATACTTTTTTCCACACCTATTCTTCTCCATTATTATTATTATTTATATTATTATTATTATTATTATTATTATTATTATTATTATTATTATTATTATTATTACTGATTCTATTACTACCTTCAGAAATTTGAGATATGTCTTGATAATTTTATTTTGCTCTGTCAACGTGCTGTTCCAAACTAGGCCGACGCATATATGTGTCAAGTCCAATGTTGCGAATGACTAAATGACTGATTCTCTGAATTCATCCTTTCTTTTTAAACCATATACTCTAATATCTAATCTTTATTCCTCCTACTGATACCACTATCATTTCAACTCTTTTGCTACTCATTTTAGTTTTTCCAAATCATTACAAGATATCCTCAGTGATTTATTGGTTAAGCTATTTATTAATGCGTCAATACAAAGAATAAGTTATCTTGTTTTCCCATTTTCAAGTGTATTTACCTATTCAATTACCTCTGTAGTTGATTAGACATTTTCTAGTAGTATCTGTCTAGTGAAATATTGTTATTAAACTTTTGTATTTTATTCGTAATTACTTTCAAGATTGCGAATACAGATCAACGTATTCAAATCACTCAACAACAACTTAAAGAATTAAGAAAAACTACAACTAATTCGACAGCAACAGGTAGGAATTTATGAAAATATGATACTATTTTTATTACATTCTGATAATTCAACTGTTTTATGCAAGATGATTCTTCTACATTCAATATAAAAATGATGAAATTTACTGCTGTTAAGATCCTATGAGTGATTGTAGATTGGTAAAAAGTTTAAATGGAATAAACAAAACTTTAACAGGTTAAATGATAATGGTAATTGTTATTAGTGAGTAAATTTAGAAATGTAAGAATATTGTAAGATGTGCATTCCCAAATACAAAACTATGTAGAATAAGATTCATGATCTTAGTATATTTAAGTTACGATAAAGGCAGAATTCAGTTTCCATCTTATGGTTAGCTATCCATCTACAAATGGTTTAGGTAGTTGCTTTTGTTTAAACAGATTAAGTAAACAATTTTTGATTGAGATCATGAACTGATTGATGTTAGACCACCATTGAAAACCTGGAAGCACTGGACGGCCGTTTCGTCCTATTGTGGGACTCCTCAGCAGTGCGCATCCACAACCCCGCTCGCGGTCCAGTGCTTCCAGGTTTTCAATGGTGGTCTAACATCAATCGGTTCATGATCTCAATCAAAAACTTAACAGTCTCCACATTCCCTAAACTGATAATTACCATGTGCTCATTAGTGACTAGCTTCGCGAGTAAATTCTCGGAGTTCTGGTGAGAAGCCGTGACCAGTGAAGTTAATCCGTGTTGGGTAGAAACAGGTGTCTACCTCAGTACAATGGAAGATGGTCGCGCAATTTCGTGGATTGGCTGAGGTCAGACATTAACACCATTTGATACCGACTCAGTGGTCCAGTAGACTAAGCGTTTGCGCGCGAGACTGAAGGCCCTGGGTTGGAATACTGCGAGTGAGATCGTGAATGCGCACTGCTGAGGAGTCCCACAATAGGACGAAACGGCCGTCCAATGCTTCCAGGTTTTCAATGGTGATCTTACATCGATCGGTTTATGACCTCAATCAAAAACTTAGCAATCTCCATAACCCCTAATCAGTTAACAATTGTAAGATCAATTTACCGTTTAGTTGATGAGTCAAATTCAGTGAAATATTCAAGAACCATTGTAAACTCACATTTGTAAGAACAAGATGGATTTTTTTTCGCTTATACTTGTTGTAATCAAACATTAATCATATATAATATACGTTGCTCATCAAGAATAAGTGAACTGGAAGGGTGAAAGCTTCACGACCAAACCATCCAGCTCAGAGAATAAAACTCCTTCAAAAAGTGACTGTACAAGAAAGCTTATCTTTCATGCATATGAAAAACAGATTTTAGTTTGTAATATTTTGTCGAGGCTTATCTGCGTTAAGTATTCTCTCAATTTTTTCAGACAGATAATTCTTAAGTACATCAGATAAATGACCACTTTTGGATTCCAAGACTAATCAAAATGCTTCTTAAAAACAAAATCTTTGAATTTTTTTAATTCCTAGTATCTCTCATATTTTATCAAGGAAATGACTGTCGTATTTATTTTTAGTTACTTTCAAATATCTGAGTGTTTATTCGCAAAAGACACATTCAGCACCTATAATCACTTAAGAATATTTAAAACTTCAGTGAATGATTGATCACAAACTGTCACATAATTTCTTCATAGAAGAGATCTGATATCTTGAGTATCCAACGTCCTATACTCATTTTTCTTCAACAACAATGTAATAGACCTGTACAAATCATATGGACATGATAAATGTTCACTTATCTATGTGAAATGAAGTGTTTACTTCATTGTTTAATGATGAACTTACCTGAGAAGATAGTCAATATCATACAGAATTCATATGATGGATTACACTGCAAAATCGTGAGTGGAGGAAAATTGACAGACTCTTTCAAGGTAAAGACCGGTGTCAGGCAAGGTTGCTTACTCTCACCCTTTCTCTTTCTCCTGGTGATCGACTGGATCATGAAGACGTCAACACCTGAAGGGAAGCACGGGATACAATGGACATCTAGGATGCAGCTGGACGATCTGGACTTCGCAGATGATCTGGTTCTTCCATCGCACACGCAACAACAAATGCAGAAGACGACTAGTGTAGCAGCAGCCTCAGCACCACTAGGTCTCAACATACACAAAGGGAAAAGCAAGATTCTCCGATACAACACAGCACGTACCAATCCAGTCACAATTGACGGAGAAGATTTGGAAGATGTAAAAACCTTTACATATATGGGCAGCATCATTGATGAACAGGGTGGATCTCATGCAGACGTGAAGGCGCGGATCGGAAAAGCAAGAGCAGCATATTTACAATTGAAGAACATCTGGAACTCAAAGCAACTGCCAACCAACACCAAGGTCAGGATTTTCAATACAAATGTCAAGACAGTTCTACTGTATTGGAAGGAAACCTGGAGAACTACGAAAGCCATCATCCAGAAAATACAGGTGTTTATTAACAGTTGTCTACGTAAAATACTTCGGATCCATTGGTCAGACACTGTCAACAACAATCTGCTATGGGAGAGAACAAACCAGATCCCAGCGGAGGAAGAAATCAGGAAGAAGTGCTGGAAGTGGATAGGACACACGTTGAGGAAAGCACCGAACTGCGTCACAAGACAAACCCTCACACGAAATCCTGAAGGCCAAAGGAAAAGAGGAAGACCAAAGAACACATTACGTCGAGAAATGGAGACAGACATGAGAAAAATATACAAAAATTGTATAGAACTGGAAGGGAAGGCCTAGGACAGAGTAGGCTGGAGAATTCTGGTCAGCGGCCAATACTACATTGGGAATAACAGGCGTAAATAATAATAAGTTAGTAATGAACTTATCCTACATCAATTTTAAACTACATTTACATATATTGACCATAATTTGTTTTGTTTAATTCAAGTTTAGTAAACAAAATTGATTATAAAAATTAAGTTCAAAAGTTCACTTAGATGAAAACAAAACAAACAAACACAGAATTTATTTTATTTTATTAGTTAACAAAATGAATAAATATGAAATATTAATGAATGGACAATAATGTATAGTACAATTCTGTATTTAATTAATTCTTTCTTTTTAGGTACCAACGTTATATACTACTTAAGTAGATATAAGTAACTCACACCACACAAGTTTAAATAGCAAAAAAAGGAAACAATACAGAATATTTTTGGTACAATCAAAATTATAATAGATCTGAATATGTCAATATTAAGTTATTCTTAATCAATGTGAATTTGTGTGAGCTGTCACAGTGTATCAGAATATTCTGTATTATTTCTTTGTATATTATTTTAATTTAATTTAATTGTCGGCTATTTATTTACTCTGAAGAAGTGGTTTATATTAAGTCATGAAACATCAAAAATACAATTTTTCTATTCATTGGCGCAACTTCGTGGATTAGTTGAAGTTAGACATTAACACCGTTGGATGCAGGCCAGCTCAGTGGTCTAGTTGGTTAGGCGCCTATCGCGAGACTGATAGGTCCTGGGTTCGAATCTCGCGGGGTGCGGGATCGTGGATGCACACTGATGAGGAGTCCAGTACTTTCAGGTTTTCCATGGTGTTCTAGCTTCAGATGACTCATGATTTCAATCAGTGAAATTCCTAAAATCTCTACAAACCCCTTCTGATCATTGTGCTTTAACAAAAACACATATTAATTATTAATTCCTTCTTTCTTTTTTTATTATTAACGATTACCGTTCGTTATGTGTAGAAATGAATATTACTAATTTATATTTAGTATTTTTGGTTTGTAATGTAATAAACGAATGTAGTTGATCTGATACTGATCATAACAGTTTTACATAAGTAGGCAGTTTATCATGTTTTTGTGTTTGGGCTGAGATACTGCCCGGGTGCCCAAACCGAAGCAGGCGGTTTTATTAGGGGGCCACACCCCGTGCCTTCGACCCAAAGGTCTGACCCACAAGGCAGTGGAGCATCGTGAGGAGATGCAGTCCCATGGTAGCCGGTGACCAACATTAGGTTCATACGCCATTTGTTCCCACAGGATACTGGAGCCCATGTGCACCATTGATTTGGGATCCGGTTAAAGCGCCGGACATTCGCTTTTCGTCCTCTCAATTTCGTAGACAACACCCTCGTTACGAGAAGGCAGTGAGTAGGACTTCCCCGGCAGAGGCTATATACGCGTGGCCGTGTGAGAGTATTTCGAGAGGGAGGGCGAACCCACCCCGCTCTCGGCCATACCAGGGCATTTATAAGCTTGTTAGTATAGACTTCAAATAGAATGAAACATTTTAGAATTCATTAATAATTGCCAAAATCAATCAATTTTAATGACTTTGTTTATGATTAGTTATTAGCAGAAAATGTTTGTATTTTTATTGACTAATTTTCTTTCATTGATCTATAATCATGTGATTGTATGATCTTTGCATCCATAAGTTGGTAGATCAATTTTTATGCTGATCTTTTAGTTAACTGTCAATTCATCTGAGTGTCTGGAATATTTTGAATTACCGTTATGTTCATTTATTATTACAACTTCAATCTACTGGCGTACAATATGTAGGTAAGACTATAATTTATGGATGACCTTTGAGCCACGCTAGACTGGTCTTGAGAGTGTCCACCTAATAACTAGGACTAAATGAGGGTTATAAAACCATTTGAGGAATTCGAATTATGATTTACAGTTGATGGTTTAGGTTAAGAATTAGATTTAGGGTTTTCATCACGAACTGACATAAGCTTTAATGCCAAGACTCTATTTAGCCAAATCAATGAGTGAACTTCATGCCAAAATCTGAGACCTGTTATCTTATACCTGATTGGTTCGTCCATAAATTTTAGTCTAGACCAAATGTATTTAACACAATGGTATATGAGAACACTAATGCACTTAACGACAACACAGTATCTGAGAGCAACCAATCACACACAAGGTTATCATTTGTTAAATAATATCGAATTACTCATTTCCCTGTGATATAACTGTTAACGATGCTGTTTCAAATGAAAATGAAAGCTTTACAATCAGATCATTCATCAGGGCTACACAATTTCGACTACTTCTTGTTATTCTGAACATACAGTACTCTGAATACCTCTCTTATTTATATTAACTTCAATCTAAACTAATTTCTTTTTGCATGATTTATTAATTTCTTACATCAAGTAAATATCGTCCTGTATTGTCTTATTCCTGGTTTTTACTGAGAATAAGGTCATTCTAGAGAATTCTAAATAGTTAACAATTGCCAAAATTATGTGATATTGTACTTTCATGTTATTAGATCTGTAGTAAATAAAGTTACATGAAATACAACTTCAAAAGTGTAAATGCTTATAACTATATTCCCGAGACATTTACGTACAGTATGTATATAATCATAGTTCATTTCGAAAATTACAGAATCTTCAGTTATTTCAAAGTATTATCCAGTTGATATGACTTATCCAATAATAAAAAAAAATCCAGTCACTCAAATTTATGTCATCCATTTATATACACTGAGGTAAATGATGGAATACAAGTACTAAAAGCAATACTATCTACAAAGGAGCATATTTTTGTATATGTATCATAATAAGTAAATTGTGGACCAATTTCTCAGTAGATAATTTCAAAGTTGCATAACTGAATATCACTAATATTTAATGTTGCAGTAAACATTTTGCCTCAGTTAATTTAATAAAAGTTCCATTATCTAAATGAGTTATCTACGAAGATTATTGATCTTACTTGTACTATGACGTTAATAAGCCGCTTTATGTGTATGAATTCAATATTGTATACACAATTCATTACTGAAATACAAAGTGATATATTCTTTTTCACGTCACTTTACAAAGATACTGATATATCCCCATGAGAATATTGAATGGTAACTGTTGGAATCTATTTCTGGACTAATACTATACATATATATTTTTATCGTGTAATTGTTAAGTAACTAAACTATGCATAGTCGTGTTCCTCTTATTATAAGCTTTATTTCGACTCGTAGACTATTATGATACGATTTACCGTTCTTAAGTTATGTCTATTATGTGTATTCATTACAATCTCCCACATTCACTGCCACTTTTGGCTAGATGTTGTACAAATGTTATTTTCCATTTTATGGTTTGATGTGGTTTGTTTGGTTTGTAAATAAACTCAATATTTTTGAAATACATGGTTCATATCACGGAGACTGAGATTTGTGTTCTGGACTCAACAGTCAGGGCTAGGCAGGAATAATGACTGATAAGGACTCTAGGCTGCTCGTACAGGTTTAGGCATCATTGGTTCGTCGATAAATCACTGTTCTTTAATTGGCGGTATCATTGAGTTATATATTAATAGGGTACAACGCAACAAGTTAAAACAGATACCTGTTCTATGAACCGGTCAAATGAAGAGAAAGGAAATAAGATATATATGTAATCACTTAAGATAATGCTCAATGGTGGCAAGTAAATTTTTGTGGTATATATAAATCAAGCATACAGAAATGTAGTGGTCATAGAATATCATTGGAATATCACGTTATTTTTTTAAGTAATAATTATGGATTTCCACTTTTCTAAAATTATTCATTTAGCTGAACAGTTCAAAATAAAAATGAACTTGTTTTTTTGTGTGTGTGTGTTTCATTTTGAATAACTTACGGTATTCTCGAAGAATATAAATAACGAAAATTATTATTGGAATATCACGTTTCAGAAGGAGTTTTGTGGATATTATAGTAATTTTAATAGTTGAGATCATGAGTCAATAGGACGAAACGGTCTTCCAGTGCTTCCAAGTTCTCCATAGTGGTCTAGCTTCAACTGACTCATGATCTAAACTATTGAAATGACTACAATATCCACAGAAACACCTTATGATACTGATCAATATATGCTCACTAGTGACTGGCTTCAAAAGGGATTTCCTAGAATTCTAGTGGGAAGCAGTGAACAGTGGAGATCGACCGGATCACTGAAGACAATGGTGGATGCGTCGCTCAATTTCGTGGATTAATTGAAGTTAAACATTAACACCATTGGATGACGGCTCAGTGGTCTAGAAGTTAAACGTTCGCTCTCGAGACTGATAGGTCCTGTGTTCGAGTCCCAGGTGGCGGGATTGTCGATGCGCACTGCTGAGGAGTCCCATACTAGGACGAATCGACCGTCCAGTACTTCCAGGTTTTTCATGGTGGTCTAACTCATGTTCTCAATTATTAAAATTAGGATGTCACGTTCTTTATTTAATAAATAATAAAGTATAGATTTTCAATTTTCCTCTACAAAATATTCATTTTTTTTAGCTAGAAAAAGCATTTAACACATGTACTTCACATTTTTTTTTGTTTATTTGTTATTTACATTATTTAAGTTCCTTTCCTTCTCAACTATTTTTGTATAAATCATTTAGCATTAATACAACGTGTTGAGGAAGAAACAAAAGTTAATCAATATATGCTATCTGAAAAACTGCCTAAAGAATTATTAAATATAAAGACCTATATTGAAAATGTAACAAAAGTTGTTTCACAACCAGCTATGAATCAATCTTTTCTTGATCAACTTAATCAACAAGTAATTATTGTGATTATATATCATTTTTGTATTGCTTTTCTTGAATCTTTCTATTGATGTTTAAGATTGTAGTCGACCAATCTCATATTGGCATATGTGTATTCTGTGAGGATTGTTTCGATATTGTTCTAAATCACAAGCATTATAAGTAAAGATGGATGGTGGCTAAGAGTGGAATCTAGATTGCACGTTTCGTCCTATTTGTGATTCATCAGCTGGGTGTACCTGAATCCCAGAGTTGATGTTTATTCCAGGACTTGAAATCAATAGCATTTATTTCAAATAGCATCACTTTATCCACTTAGCTGATGAGTCCATATAACCATCAACTCTGGGATTCAGGTACATCTTAGCTGACAAGTCCCAAGTAGGACGAAATGCATGTCATGGATTCCACTGCTAGACACTATTCATATATTGTAATCGTTTTGTTGTTTAATTCTAAAAACCGTGACAGATTTCAAATTCCCATAATGCAAAAATAATCAAATATTGTAGGCTAAAATAAATGAATTTCATTTTGTATGCTCTAAATCTTACACATATTCACTGATTTATATAATTTAAAATATTGTTTTACAAATGTCATTTCGGAGTGTAACCAACATGTATAAAGTGATTTGATTCATTGGTTAAAAGAATAATATGAATGTATAAAACAAGAGCTTTCTAAACTCATTTCTGAACATTATACTATGTGGCTTTCGAAAAGCGTATGTAAACCAATCAATGGTTTAACTTTGGTATTTCATGTTAACTCTGAACACTTGGCCCCACTAGGGACATCCTTCAAAATTATCTATGCAATTAAACGATTTGGTTTGAGAGGAGCACGAACTAATCAGTTGTACACTCTAGAAGTGTTATTTTCAAATCTAAGCTATAAGCGTAACAGCGATAAGGTGCAAGCAATTATTCTACCATTCCCCTTATCCAGTAACTTGGTCGTTGAGAGATCCTTCTGATGTTTTCAATTTCATTTGTTCGTTATCATTGCTTTCTTATTTTCAATCTATTCTTCATCTTTCTTATATACGTCAAGTTAACTACTAACATTCGTACATTTGATTTCATCTTATTATTTCCCATTAAACCCTCGATTGTTACGTAATTTTATTTAGACACCCGAAGTGATGTAATCCTCCTTCAATTTTTAAATACACTACTTTATTTATTAATTAGCCATAAATATGACTATATAACTTGAGTGAATAACATCATTGGAAGGAAAATTTTCTCCGCTGTAGTGTATTTAATTCTTGTTCAATGACATCATGAATTACTTTAGTCAATTATAACTACGTTCCTTAAACATAGAAGATCAATATATATAGGTAAACAGATTAAGCGCATATGTGCAAGAAAGAAATCATGATGCGAACATGTGCAGCAAATATGTGAAAATTGCTTACATGAAATAAAGTTGAAATGATTTTATAGATGTTACAGTCAGTCAGTCGGTCAGTCAGTCAGTCAGCTACAACGTAGGACCAGGTACATATATGCATCGGTCCAAGTTGCCATACCGCATTAGCACAGCAAGATGAACACCGGATTCATAGGAGTGGTTAGATCAAAGGTGGTAATATATAAGAGAAAGATTGCATATAGAGATATAATACAAAAAGAAAGAATTGGTTCGTAGAAAGAAAGATATAAAGTGATTTTAATCCCATAGTTTAAGGGAAGACAGAGTGTATACACCTACGCCATTGTGATAGATTCTGAGCCATGTCACCAAGAGTCTCCAACCATTGGTTACGAAAGTCACGCGGACCCCAACCAAGTAGTTTGCATCTACCAACGTGGCTCAGATTAGAAGTTAGTGTCTTCAAGCACTGATGCCACGTTTTGGTTTGACCGCCCCTAACTTTCTTCCAACCATCTCTAACACCCGTTAGCATTGCACGACGTGGTAATTCAATTCATTCATTCTTGTCTTATAAACATTTATCAAAGGAATTAACTGGATGAAATTGCAAATTATTGATCCTATGAATAATCTAAATATCGAAGTCTAAACATTTATTCAATGTTTTCTAGCAAGTGATAATACTTGATACTAGTAGGAGTTTCAGCGATTAATATATATTGTTTGGATGTTTATACTAACCCTTTAATGTGTTACAAGTAGAAAAGTTGAACTTAGAATAGAAGGAACCTGACATTTGCATGACGCAAGGTAGAACATTAAAACTAATAGTAACTCACTGATGACAATGGTGGACGGTGGCGCAATTTTGTGGATTAGTTGAAGTTAGACATTAACACCGTTGGACGCAGGCCAGCTCAGTAGTCTAGTTGGTTAGGCTCCTGGCGCGAGACTGATAGGTCCTGGGTTCGAATCCCGCGAGGTGGGGTCGTGGATGCGCACTGCTGAGGAGTCCCACAATAGGAAGAAACAGCTGTCCAGTGCTTCCAGGTTTTCCATGGTGTTCTAACTTCAATTGACGCATGATCTCAACTATTGAAATTACTAAAATCTCCACAAAACCCCTTCTGATACTAAGCAGATAGAGACTTTATAAACACTCCGAAAAACATAAAAAATACTTATGAATCAACTTCATTGATTCACATATAGATTTAACTTATATTTCATATGCATATACAAATTGAGCTACATTTGTGGCGTACTATCAATCAACTAAACCAACAAATGAGTGAACACTCCTCTATATGGTTTGGTAAGAGTCAGACGAAGACAATACATAGCCCCACTTTACCACAGTTGTTTAACTTTGGTTGTATGATAGTTAAAAACAAATTATTTAGAATGACCTATCATAGACTTTAGTCGTTTCTTAACAAGTTCGGTCTCATCTCCTAATCCAGTTTATTGTTATCAATGACTCACAAAATACCTTAATTAATTTAGTATATTTCTAATGTATTCATATAACATTACCGTATATTAGAGTAAAGCCTGAAGATCTAATTGAGGGCGATATTATTTACTTATTTATTGTTATAATTTGATAATTATTCAATAAATATAACATATACTTGTTAGAATAGGAATATAGAATGGATCTTACACTGAAATAATACAAACAAACGCTAAATGGTCACAGTGGACGCAATTCACAATCAATTAATATGAGAAAAAATAGGTTATATGGCACAAATATCGCACGAAATTAAAATAAAACGAATTGTCATCTGTAAAATTAGACATAATCTAGTGTTTTATACCATCTTAACAAAACTGACTATGTTCAGATTTTGTTTCTTCCAAAATTTACAAAGGATCTTGTGATTAATTGAGATCATGAACTGATCAACGTTAGATCACCATTAAAAACCTAGAAGTACTGGAAGCACTAATGACTAGCTTCAAGATGGATTTCCTGGAGTTCTAGTGTAAAGTCATGACCGGTGGAGTCCATCAGCGTCTGTTTTGATGCAGTTATTCACTGATAACAATGGAAGAGCCGCGCGATATCGCGGAATGATTGAAGTTGGACAATAATACCGTTGGATACCCGCTCAATGGTTTAGAAATTAAGCGTTAGCGTAAAGCCGAAGGTCGTGCGTTTGATTTCAAAGTGTGTGATCGTGGACACGCAATCCTGAGGAGTCCCTTATCAGGACAAAACGGCCATTTAGTGCTTCTAGGTTTTCAATGGTGGTCTAACATTGATCTGTTCATGATGCCAATTAAAAGATCAGCAATCGCCTGTACCGATTTCGTCATTACTATCGAGCAATTAGTACTTACATATGTTCTACGCGACTAAGACTTGTAAACGAAAAAAGATCTTCAGTATCTCGTCAACCTTTCAATAAGCGATGAAAATTTATTGTTTGTTGCTTATCAAAACAAGCAAAATCAGTGTAAAGTAACAATCTGCTTGGACAATCCTTATATTATTGGTTGTTTGTATCTTCCCACTGATGTTTAGGACTGAGATTGATCAATCTCTTTTGGTGTATGCGCACGCTGTGAGGATTTCCTCGATTTTGTCATTAAGTCACAAGTAGTTTAATCGAAGACCGTAGATGCAAACAACCAATTTATACTAACTAAAGTTCACCCTGTCGCGCAAGTCAGTGGCCATCTGGACTCAGTAGCTATAACGTCTGAGGTGAATGATAATTGATTCCAGTCCCGAAGGGGACATCAACTCTGGGATAGAACTACATCCAGCTAACGTATCCTAAGTAGGACAAAACTCACATCCTGGATTTCACTGCTACCCACTATCCATCTATGCTTAATATGTTTGCATAATAAATGAAATATATAAGATTTGTCGCACTTTTGTAAACTGCTTAGTTTATGATTATTTGGAAATGATCAAATAACTGGTGATCTCAATGTCAACTGTTTCAATAGCATTTCATCATGTTGTTACCGAAATTCGTCAAAACATTCTTGACAGATATCGTCTGAGAGATGTGAAATTCTTACGAAAACTTACATTGACTCTAGTTATATTTCAGTCAGTTAATTATATATATATAATTTATTACTGGTTGACAATGTACAATAGTTTCATACATTTTTCTTAATCTTAATTGATAATTTTTGAATAGATATTATTCTTTTCCGTTCAAATGACACTTCTCTTTTTTCAATAGTTGAAATCATGAGTCAATTGAAGTTAGACCACCATGAAAAACCTGGTAGTACTGGACGGCCGTTTCTTCCTAGTGTGGGACTACTCAGCAGTGCTCATCCACGATATCAGCTCACTGAAGGCAATGGTGGACGGTGGTGCGATTTCGTGGATTGGTTGAAGTTAAACATTAACACCATTGGATGTCGGCTCAGTGGTCTAGAAGTTAAACGTTCACTCTCGAGACTGATAGGTCCTGTGATTCGAATTCCACAAGGCGGGATCGTGGATGCGCATTGCTGAGGAGTCCCACAATAGGACGAAACGGCTGACCAATGCTTCCAGGTTTTCTATGGTGATCTACCTTCGATTGACTCATGATTTCAACTATTGAAATTACTACGATCTTTACAAAACCCCTTCTTATACTTCTCTTTT